TCTGCCGGTCAGACCGCCGTTGTGAGGCCGGTCAGACCGGACTACTTTGTAACGGCTAGGGCAATCATTGAGCCCACTCAACCTGGCCGGTCTGACCGCAGTGTAGTGGCCGGTCAGACCATCCACGGCTCGGTCTGACCGGTTGCGGCTCTGGCGGCTCTGTATCGCCACCAAAAACCAGACCAGTGCAACAGACCAGTGGGGCCGGTCAGACCGGCTAACAGGCCCGGTCAGACCGGCCTAAGGCCCACGGTCAGACCGCAGGTCACTTTTCAGCTCAACCGACCGTTAGTAAAACGACGATATCTCTTGACTCGGGTCTCGGAATTTGGCGTTCTTGGACTTTATGGAAAGATTATTCAAAGGGCTATCCAACCCATGAACAATCCATCCAAGAAACACAACTTTTCTTAGGGAGAAAGGGCTCACACTCCAAAGGATACTCCACAGGACATAACCACATGAGGCTACCCAAACCTATAGGATTTGCCCACATCTCTCTTTGTTTAGGACTTGAGAAAACTCACCACACTTGGCTAGACAAGCCCACCAAATACACCTACATACATATGAACTAATATGGCACATGATCATCCACAAGCTCGCTTCATAGACCCCTCTTGATAGTACGGCGTCTATCTAGCAAATCCGGTCTACACCAAACACCAAGACCGGGAAAAGACTAAGAAAACATTCTTAGCTACATTATACCTTTGCCTTGCGCCATCCATCTTGGGGTCAAGTTTGAGTCGAGATCAACACTTGTGACCATTTGATTCAACCATGTTTATACCAAGGTATTTACCATCATTTGTCAAGACTTTCTTCTCATCACAAGCTTGATTTCATTCTTGCCAACATGGCGATGTCCTTGGCTTGGTGACCATTAACCCATGGTGTCATCCATTAGCCTCATCATAGTGGGACCTATTCCTTTTCACATCTCAAAGGAGAACATTAGTCTCAACAAATCGGTTGTCATCCTTCACTTGATGACCAACCGGTTGCATATGAAAGATATGGATATGTTTGTTGAGTATTCATTAACATCACAAGTGTCATATACTCGTATGCAAGCTCAAGTGCAAAGATCCGATATAAATAATAGGTGAACAACATGGATCTAAAACATGCACAATAAATGTATAGGATTTGCTCCCCCTAAGTATATGCATACAAAGAAATATAAAAGAGAGACAAGTGTATGCATAAGTAAAGAAGAACCAATGGGGTTTATCCTATACACATAGAGAAGGCATATGTAGTAATGATGAAGATAAACAAAAAAACACATACCTTCATGATCTCCATGTTCTCAATGTAAAGGAGACTAAATAAGATAAGACTCAAGTAAACATTAGTCTCACTCTTATATAACAATAACATTGAAATCATATATATGAACCTATCAAAAAGTAGGAGATAAGAAGTGATATATATCGCTTTATCTCCATGAATTTCATCCTTGTCATGATTAAGGTCCATCACCAAAGAATGCATATCTACCACATCTCATTATCGGGAAATAACCTTGTTGAAAACTTATGTAAAAGAGAGGTTAATCCCATAAACATCGGTTTATCATCTATCACCAAAGTAACAATTACACAAATTGTTTAATCCAAGATCTTTCAATATTTTCTCTCTTTTGTGATAGATAATAATCCGATATAAACAATACAAAGAGATGAGATGAAAGATAATTTCAAATCAAGGTAGAGATCTTATAATGAACAAAATATAGAATAAGCTCCCCCTCAAGATGTGTATACATATGGATATGAAGGAATGCATATGCACATAATCAATCAAGATCAATGAGGAAGCTCACACTATATTTTGGATCTACAAGATAGACCAAGTTAGAATATGTGAAGTTTAATACATACCTCCTATCATTTTTACTTTCATATCCAAATAAGACTAGTCAAAGAAAGACTCATAAAAATGTTAGTCTCATATAATTAGATTTGTTATTAATCATCGAAACCAAATTAAGGCACTTGAACTTACACCGGGCTTGTTGAGGAAAGGGGAAGGGGCGGCGTCACCACAGGACCCGCGTGCAGCCGGCCGACAATCTCCTCCCCACACGCGTCGTGGCCGGCTGACGAGCTCCTCCTTCCATGCCAGCAAGGTTGTCGGCAACGTCGCTACCGAGCAGCAGCAGCCGTCACGGCTGTCCTGCCGTTCCCGCCGAGCTCCCGCCGCTCTTCCGAGATCCTGCCACCCCGCCACTCTCGCCGTCCTGCCGCTCCCGCTGAGCTCCCGCTACCCCGCCTGTCCCGCCGCTCCCGCCGAGCTCCCGCCGCCCCGCCGCTCCCGCTGTTCTATCGCTCTCGTCGAGCTCCCGCCGCTCTGTGATCCCGCCGATGTTCCTACGCGTTGCCCCGCCATCCTGCTGCCGCCGAGCTCTCTCCATCTCGCTCGCCGCCGAGTTCATTTATTTTTATTGTTTTACTCACTGACATGTGGGTCCTATTTAGGTTTGTTTTATTTTAGTGCCACGTAAGCGCCACGTCGATGCCACATGGGAAGTCAACCGCCACGTAAGTGCCACGTAGGACAAAACCGCCTCCGAAACCACCGAGAGAGGTGATTTGCTCTGGTTTTTAGAGAAGAAGGAGGCGTTATACCCGGTTTTCCGGCTGAGGGATGTTATTCACGCAAGCGCAAGAGATGAGAGAGGTAAAATGGACTTATTCCTTTTGTTTATCTGAGATGAATTTCAGTGAGTGAGAACCATAACGCACATGACAATCGTAGAAACAACTCAAATACTCAATTTGACAATTTGTTCCACTATGGTGAAAAAAATCAGCACGGTGATTTGGTAATTAGAGATCAAACAGCCGGAAGCTTTAACTCATAACAAGACAAACGCACTGTCCTTGTACCTCACCTGACCTTCTGACGGACGAATGGCCGAATGATCTTATAACTGTACTCCCTCCTTCCGGGAAGGAGATCCTTTGACGTAGAGGCTTCTATGTCAGAGGGACGTCTAACTCCGGATCGCCATTCGTAGCGCATCCGACATTCCAGAAGTGCAACGTACAGCTATAACATGCTCGGCTTCTACCCATTCACAACCGCCGGAGGTCCGGCGGCGCCGGGGAAGTCCAGCCGCCAAAGCCGCCGCTCGACCTGTGTTCATCTCTCGCTGGTGGAGGGCGTCAGTGTCGATGTCACCCGCATGGCCGCGTGCGGGGGGGGGGGGGGGGGGGGGGACACGGTGGCGGTGCCACCGCAGGCAAGGGCGAACTGGATTCCAGAGATGGAGAATGTTGCAGGTTTGATCGAGCTTCGAATTGGTTGGCAATGTTGTGTATGTGCAACTGTGCGTACCTAGGGGACTCCGTGGCTCTTGTGCAAAAGATGAGACTTTTTTTTATCAGGGAGCTCGACGGCAGGGACGAAGCAGGCGTGGAGGACTGGAGGGTGCTCTCGTCCACCGCATGCGTGGGTCGCGCATGCATCTCACTTGGCGGCACGCTTGGACATGAAGCAGGACAGCGAGGCTGAAGTGTTGCGCGCCGTGTGTGCTGCTGCCCTTCGACCTCGCGGTGGTGGTGTTGCTGCCGTCGATTCATTCCCCTACCGTGTAGCTCGTTGTCGATGACGACTACGGGAACTCCAGTTTCTTGCTGACCACGATGAAAAGCGACGAGTGTGGCGCGGTTGTCCAACCTCGCAGGCGGCATCCACAAGCACCGAGGTAGGCGGAAACATCGCCCCTGCCCTCGCCGGTCGCGGCGGCGGCGGCTGTGAATGGACCGAATTGAGTAGCATACTCATTGGGCTTGTAGGCTGATAATGGAGATTGGAGAACGGACTGAAACGATTTCTCCCATCAGATGTGCTACGAACAATGATCCAGAGTTGGACATCCTTTGACATAGAAGCCTCCACGTCAGTGGATCTTGTACCCTTCGTTACAAAGTGAAACAAAAAAAATCCTAACTATAAACTTAAACATAGCTTTATAGTTGATTTATTTTGAGATGGATTCGTAGCTAGTGGTTGATTTATTTTGAGATAGAGTGTGTAGTAGTACAAGATTATGTATTGTCTTGCTCCATTTAAGCATTTCATAACCTGACAAGTGCTCTATGGACTAGCATTTCATTTAATCAAAATCGGGTATGGGAACTCGTATGGTGCATTTAAGCTGCTATAGTGTTATGAACTTTAGTACTCCCTCCGTTTCGAAATGTTTGACACTGTTGACTTTTTAGCACATGTTTAACCGTTCGTCTTATTCCAAAACTTTTGTGAAATATGTAAAATTATATGCCTACATAAAAATATATTTAATAATGAATCAAATGATAGGAAAAGAATTAATAATTACTTAAATTTTTTGAATAAGACGAACGGTCAAACATGTGCTAAAAAGTCAACGGCGTCAAACATTTCGAAACGGAGGGAGTACTATGATACTACAAGCCCTTTATTTCAGAGATGACAAGTTGTTCATGTTCCTAGCATTTTTCTTTGCAGAAAGTCAAAACAGGAGGTGTGCATGGCATCATTTCAGCAATGACAAGTTGTATATATTTTTCCAATCAACCTACTACGGGATCACAGATGACAGGTTGAACAAAAAATGGAACCTTAAGATTATCAACTAAAATGTTTTATTTCTCGAACTAGCAAGTGAGAATGCATAGGAAGAATTAAATATAATTTCAATAACTAAAATAAAGGCACCCAAGTCCAAAGTCAAAAAGAACTCGAAACCTCAATGGTGGGGGTGCATACCCACACATCCCACCGGCGGAGGTAGAATCAGTTCCTCACTTCTCAAACAAGCAAGATGGGCACTTGATTTTTCCTGTCACTACTTATCTCATGATTATCTTAGGTGGACTTATCTGCTTTTGTAGATGAGCTTGTTTCATGCTCAAGTATGTTGGTAGCGTCATGGAATTCCATATGGAGCGCATGAAATTAGTATGTACAAGAACTCTATTATCTTATTAGAGACCCTTTAAACATGACAATACCACTAATTGATGGTACTCCATGAATCATACAAGCTTACATACAACAGTTTGTTTGATACATGAATGGCTTTTACAGCATATCTAAGAATCCTTTTATATTGATCAAATGGGCCAACAATTAACGTAAATGATAATCTCATCCTAATATATGCCATAGAAAATCCAGCAAGTCTGCATAAAGTACTGCATGCTTTCCTCAATTTCATTGAGGAAATTTATTAATATATCCAACTAATATAAAACTTAGTATCAGTCTCCAACAAATACAAAAAAGTATATCTAAAGGTGAAGCTAAATGGAATTATAAGTATACCAAGCTAAATGGAGCTCGCCGATAAATGAAAATGCTTATCAACTCTATAAATAGTTAGAATTAGCCAGAATAAGACCGGAAGAACCTCATGGATGGTAGGCAAGTCACTTCTTCCAGGACTACATCACGAGGCTTCATAAATTGACAGAACAGAATCATCTCATCATCCAGTAGCAGAAAACTGGATGTCAGCATCTCGGGAGGCCTTTCTGAGCTTCAATACCCTGCGCCTGAACTTTGCCTGCTCAAGGCCATCCATCGAAGGCACAATAGTCATCATCTCTAACATTGGTGTGTTCTTGAGCAGAAGCTTAACAAGATCCAATCCACTCTTGCTCTCATCGATGTACACCATCCTAACTGCCCTGAGATGCCTCAGCACGACCCCTTTACCTCCCATAACCCAATGGTTTGCTCCATCATCGCTACCCCATCTCCGCTTGCATTGCGATGGCTGCAAGAATTAGCAACCACACCATCAGCATTGCTACCATGTTTTGCAGAAAAAAAAAATCTAGAACAGCGAAAGAATTATATCTCACCACAACAGACACAGAGAGTTCTTCCACATTCTGACAATTTGCGAGCAATGGGGCAATGGATGAAGCACCTTCTTCTCTCCTCTCTATTATACATGACAACTGCCTCACTTTGTTTAGCCGCACCTTGGACCACTCCTCAGGACGTGCAAATTGCTTCAAGTTATTCACATATCAATAATTAGATTCCTCAAAAAAAAAAACTTTTTCACCAGATCAAGATTCAAGAGTATGTCATATACCTCAATGCACCAAGGTGAAAGCATAAGGCTCTGTACATTCCCAACCAAAGAAAGAAGCTCTCTGAGATTAGGCTCCTGGAGCTTGACCTGCGGCTTCTTGATGGCAAGAACGACCTCTTCTAATGAATCGACATTGTCTATAATGTGTCTGGTTGCCATTGCACCCAAGTAGTGGAGGGTGCGCAACGCTGGCATGTCAGAGAAGGCAACAGAAGACTGCGGAGTCCAAGAACAATCCGTGATGGCAAGCGAGCAAAGCTGCGTTGTGCCGGCTAGGCAGAGTGCACCAATGCGGCATTGTTCAAGGATCAGGTAGCGGAGCTGTTTGCAGTGCGAGAAGAGGTCTGCAAAGAAGTCGTCGCCGGCAAGCGGAATGGAGGCGAGGTGGAGGCGGGACAAGCGGGTGAGCGAGCAGAGGGACGGAAGAGGGTGGGCGTAGTGGTCGAGGCGAAGGGTCAAGGATGTGAGGTTGGTGCAGGCGATTAGGGAAGGCGGGAGGAGGGCGAGGCGGGAGCGGGGGAGGTGCAGCTCCAACTGCTCGACCCCGCGCGCGGCGGCGGCGGCGAGCCAGGAGGCGAGGTGGTCGGCGGCGGAGGCGGCGAAGGCCTGGTCGAAGAGGCCGTCGAGGCCGAGGCGGAGGCGGCGGAGCGGGTGGTGCGGCCTCGAGAGCGCGGCCGTGGCGGCGGCCGCGAATGCCGCCCTGCGGCGCGGCGCGGCCGGGAACGCCGCGGCGAAGTCGAGGTCCAGCGCCGGCGCGGCCGCCGCGACGCCGCGCCACCGGCGGGAGATGGCCGACGCGGCGACCGCCGACCTGAAGGGCAGCTTGGACACGATCAGCCCGAGCACCGCCTCGGGGAACTGCTCGAACGGGTCGCCACCTCCACCTCCATCTCCCCCGTCCCCGCCGCCGCCGCCGGTGGTGGCGTACGCGCGGGCGTAGGTGTAGCCGGCGGCGTGGTGGGGTATCAGGTGCTTGGTGCGCATGGCTGATCTCCCAAACCCCCCGGCCGCCTCCGGGCCGGCTCTTCGCCCCGCGATTCGCAGGAAGGTGTACTTTTTTTTTTCTCCCCCTGGAATCGGAAGCCCACGCGCCCACGCGACGCGACGCTGGCGGCGAGAAGGAAAAGTACAGCGCAAACAGGGGAAAGGAACCGAAAGCGCAGGCACGCAGGCCGCAGCCGACCCGCGGTTTTGATGGCTCCTTTCCGCGGGTGCGAATCGCGAGGCGGCCGCCGCGTGCCTCGTTAACCCGCGATACCGTGGGCGTGGGCGCGTGGCCCCTGCAGCTGCCGTCACCGCCGTGCCGTGGAGACGACTCGGCGAGGAGGACGGTGCCCCGCGCGGTCGCATGAACGAGCAGATGGGTTGTGAACGAGTAGATGGGTTTTTGGCTCGATCGGCCCTGTGTGCCGCGCGAGGCCGAGTGGAGCGGGGGTGGTGCGGTGCGCGCGGTGGGGTTTTTTGGCTCCGCGTGGTGGGTTTGCCGCTCGCTGCAGGCTTTTCCGTGTCGTGAGTCGTGAGTCGTGACGAGCGTGGCCGCTTGGGGAGTTTGCCAAGTGGTTTTGGTGACATCTGGGGCCTTTTGGCGGACTTGGGGGTCGGTCGCGCTGCCCACGTTTGGTTCTGACGTGGGTTTTGGTTCGGTTTCTGGTTTGGACTTCTGGGGCGGACAAGTGGATCGCGAACCGAACTTCTCTGTACGAGAGGGAATCCCTTTGCCTTCAATGATCAGTAATCCCTTCCCTCCGTTTTTACTCCATGGCAGGGCAGGTGATGAAACAGTAGAGCATCCCATTGTCCATGGACCACGGCAGTCGTACGAAAGATTGGAGAAATCGTGCAGTTGATCTGGCGTCAGAGAGCAGAAAGTGCGCTTGTCTATTGTTGTAGTAATTGCCTGACATATTAGCCTGCTGTAGTAACGCTGCAAGATCATTCCGTATTGAAATACTCTTTTATCTCTCCGTCCCAAAATAAAGTAAATATAAGTAGGAAAAATATGTGGAAGCCATAAAATAAGTGAAAACATGTGAAAATCATATCTCAAAGTTCTCTAAATTTATATATAGAAAAACTAGAACATATATAGGCATGAAATATATTCATACCAAATCTCAAATCTAAACTAAATTTCATTTGAGAGAATAAAAAAAGACAAATTACAGGTGAATTCACCTAACATTTTTGTTATTTTTTTTACTCACAAATAAAGATAAGTTTAGACAACTCTATTATCAGATGAGATACTCCCTCCATCCCAGTATATTTGACGTTTTACTTCATGTCCATTGTCCTACAATGCTTGACGTTTTAGCAAGGAGCATAAATGTGGGGCCGCATAGCAGCTGACGGAGCGTGGGGCTCCTCACCGGGAGACCGCGCGGGCCCCCCTTTGCCTGTTCGGCCGGGGGCGCTAGGTGAGGTTCTAAGCACTCGATCTGTGGAATGTTTCGCGAGAGAGCAAATGCGCAAGACACGGGCGATGTAGACAGGTTCGGGCCGCTGAGAAGCGTAATACCCTACTCCTGTGTTCTGGTGGATCTGTGTATGAAGGAGTTACAAAGAGCTGGAGAGCAAGAGAGTTCAAACTCTAGAAACCCTCTTCCTCTTTCTCTCCTCTACGAGCTCAGGTCTTCTCCCCCCTCTTTCCCCCGCTCCCCCTTTCTTAAGTGGGCAAGGTCCTCCTTTTATATCTCAAGGGGATCTCACATGCACCACTTCTACCTACTCTTCTTTTGGGTGGGGACTCACCCTATCTTCCCAAAAAAGAAAAAACTGGCTTGCGCCTTCGCCTGGAAGCTAAATCACAGCTTGTCTTTGAGTGAGGCCCAGCGTCATCACTCGCCTGACACCGGGGATCTCCCTGTTACTCCCTCATTAATGGGCGGAGATTTGCCATGGCTGTTGTCCGAATGACCCTCTGATGGGATGGGCCATACCTACCTCCACTCCGCCGGAAGCAGGCGCAACGTGGGAGCACGGTTGTCTGCCGATGACGTGACCGGCGTCAGACCAGTCACAAACCGGTCATTCTTGTCTACCACGCGTCAGTTTAGCATGCCACACGTCAGCCATTCTTCATAAAATGACTTCCTTGTAATGGTTGCGATGAAGCCTGGTATGAATCTAGCCGGGACTGACGTGCTAACTCCAGGAGTCAGCACGCCGGCTCCGGCTAGGGACGAGTGCCTAGAGGCTCTCATCATTCCGACGGGACGGGGCGAGGCGTGCGAAAGGCCGCCTGTTGCCACCTAACCCGCGATCTGACCGGTCTGTGACCGGTCACACACTGTGACCTGTCACGGACCGAACGAGTGTGCTGCGCTGCATTAAATGCGGCATGGGGCGCTCGTCCAACCCGCAATAAACGCGGTTAGGTGAGCGCCGCTGTGCTCACCTAACCCACACACGTGGCGCCAAACCCACAGGGGGTCGGGGCGCCCCAGCCCTCGGGGCCGAAACGGGAGCGGCCCGACCCCTCGGGGAGACAGAGGGAGGGGCGGCCACATCACCCTCGGGCCCGACCCCCCCGAGGGGGTCAGGCCACGTGGGTGACTGCAGCTGCCTCAAACCTCTAGTCAAGATACCCCCGGTCCCATATCACCGACAGCAGCGTACAATTCAAATTTTACTAACCGGGTTATCAAGAACAACAGCTCATCCATGATTCCACCGTGGCAGGAACGGCATGTGTATTCTTGGTTTGAAATGACTGCTCATCATGGTTATTCAAAGTACCTAGTACTCCAGTTAGGGCTATATAGTAATTTTCACCTAAGCTAGAACGCCCCAGGCCGAGTTTAGTTCCAATCTTCTTCTTCAAACTTTCAACTTTTCCATCACATCAAAACTTTCCTATACACAAACTTTCAACTTTTTCGTCGCATCGTTACAATTTCAACCAAACTTCCAATTTTGGCGTTAACTAAACACACCCTGGGACAAAGGGAGTACAAACATAGTACTAGTACTTCACTCTTGACAGGGAGTACTGATCTTGCCAGTTTCTCACCTGCCTCCTTGGCTCCTTCCGTTTTGAATCCTTGTTCAGTCAGATCTTGTGTTCTGGCTCTGAATCATGTAATCAGTACCATGCAAACAATGCAAATGAAAGCAAGCAACAGCTCCTATTGAACACTGCAAACCAGTAGAACTGATGTGCTTTGCATGGTATACAGAAAGATCCACTTGGTACATCAGTTTAACGATCAACTAAACAGTACTACATGAATGAATGAGGCTATCAAACGTTACAAGAAGCAGGTGACATTTATTTCTCTCCTTTCAGTTTTCCTCTCTTTACAAATGAATGTGACTATGACTATCGAGAAATTATGTACCTGGTTTGCTAACTTATCAGATACAACAACGTAGCAAGCTACGGTTTTTAAACAAACTGAGGTTTCCACAAAAACAAGAGAAAACAACATCCCAGCTGCACCTAAAGTTAGACATGACATCTCGTATCATCACCACCAATGATCCTCTTGTTATTCTGAGATACCAAGAGAGTGGTCGATTCCTTGCACCTGGACCATCTGGGTGTACTTCTCTCCTCTTTGTTCCAGAACCTGGCAACCACCATCTTCAGGAAAGCCCTGAAGTCAACAACAAATGAAGTTATGACCTCCCTGCACAAGATTGATACGTGTTATTATTTATTGATAGCACGAGTGTACCATCATTTTGGCAGCATGATAATGTTATCAGAACCCTGGGATAATTTGGCCATAGTAAGAACTAAAAATACATCAATTGAATTCTTCTGGATTGGTCATAAGGTCTATAAGTTCAATTCCTCTCAACACCCAACAAAAGATATTAAATTTAAACATCTTTGATAAAGTCGCAACACACAATAACAAGAAAATATTACTGCCCACCAAACTAAGGACCTAAACATTGCCTCAGCCATTCAATGATCTTGTTTTATGTCTAATAGTAAGTTAGGCCAAGTTTGCTGTGCCTTTAAAGAACCTTATGTCTGCACAGTAATGCCTTAGAGCTACCCTGTACCAACACCGTCATCCATTTGATGCTTAGTGACAAATAAGGGTACCAAGAGTTGATGACCTAACCCAGGATAGGTCCAAAGGTTGCGGGCGAGTGACTCACATTGTACTAATGACTTTTGGCCTTTTACCAAAATACCCCCAAACATTCAGGACTGGTAAAATACCACAAAAATAGTTTAGACCATTTCTACAAAACCACGTAGGATCGTTTTTAACCCTCCTGCTTCATTTTCTCTAGTGAGTACTTTTCCTCCCCCTTTATCTCTCCAACCCTTCCTCCCTCAACAAAAAGCAGCTGGAAATCATCTTTAGCCACCACTATCCCTCCCTGCAGACCAGCACACTGTCTGCTGCCTCCTTACTTTAATCAAATTCTACCACATCCAGCACAGAATCACACATGCACATATATGTGAATATGGTAGTTGAGTTCTGAACTTCTTATTTAAACAGCATGGACCAAATTAAACAGGAAGCATTATTCTGAATTGAATCGAGCTTCCAACAAGTACCAGTTTGAGCAGGATTGAAATAAAAATATATCATATTTAAATCAGATTTTAAGCCGAAGAGAATATTGGATGTAGCAGACTACTGGATGTTTGGGTGTGATTTTGGCAAAACACATAGTGATATAAGAAGGCTTTATGTTATCTTATGTGCTTGTTGCCTTGTTATCGGTCTTAGACCAGGGGTGCGACACTAACCCTCATCAAGCTGACAGTTTGACAGCACCTAGAGCTTCTCCCTAACGCGGTAGAGAGATTCTGAGGCTTAATTTATTGAACACTTGGTTTCTCATTGCTTGGTTAAAAGAGACATGGTCCCATCCTTGTGAAAAGAGACATGAGAAACTTATCTCCAATATTACGGAAAGAGATGGTATTGACCAATATAATCTTATCTCTAAAGTCGAGTAGTCCTCGTGGTGTTAAAGTAACTGCATGAAATGTAGTACCTCTGTCCCAAAATAATTGTAATTCTAAGTTGTTTAGCATATATTAAGGTTTGAGGAGAAAGACTATGGTGTCCCTCATTAAATGGTGTATATGCAAGAGCGGGAGGGTGGTTGAGGGTAGAATAGGAAGAAATTTGAATAAGAAGTGATTGATGGGACAATTAGTACTCTATTGTGACAACTATTTTGGAACAAATTTGAATCCTAGAAATAAAATTATTATGGGACGGAGGTAGTAATAATGTATGTGGTGCTACAGTAATCCCATGGTCAGAAATCATGCTAAGACATTGGGCTATGACACTTTATGCGCCATCTGGCTTAACATGTCGTAAGGTATTTAGATATTAAGAGTGTTAAGGTTGCAAATTCTACACGATTTAAAAAGTTGTGTAAACTAAACAAAACAGTAAAAAGAGAATGGATAAAAAGAAACATGTTCAAGGATTTTTTTTTTAAAAAAAGAAACATGTTGGATGGGCAACAAAAGGTTATATCAGTTGGAACTAGTGGAGATTATCCAAGGTAGGTATATATTATCCTGCCGGACAATGTGTAATCCTCTTAATAAAATCGTATTTGTAAATAGAAGGCTCTCATTACCAGCTTGGAAGAAGGAATTTAGATGCAACTCTGCCATGGTTGGTTGTTAGGGCAAGTCCAGCTGTAACTTTTTGTCTCTTTGGTCAATAGCTTCTATTAGTTTTATGTTGTCTAAAGAACTCATGTATCCTCAGCTTTTGTGTAAATATTCATTTATATGTTTTGATATATTAACAGTTAAGCCGTTGAGGCCTCTTCTCCTGTTTTCCTTAAAAAAAGGACCGCATTCAATTTCACACTGAATTCACTGAAAGCAGTCAAACAAGAAAAATGTTCTCCAGTGTGGGCATGTCCAGATCAGTATGAACCCATGGCCATAAACAGCTCATGCATTGCCAGTTTTGAAGCTAACTAGAAAATCGAGCACACTACAGAGTTCATGAGATCGATTCATCATGGGCAGTCGAATTTGCATATTATCCGAACGAGAGTTAGGAATGACAACTGCAGATAGTAAAATCCTATTGAAACACAGCATCGGATAACTACTAAAAACAAAACTTGCATGCTTCTCCAGATAAAGAACAAGAAATACTTACAGTGGTGAGCAAGGCGAACGGCCCCCATTGACATAGTACACAAACAAGTATGAATCATAATGCTGCCCTCTTATGTAATAGAAATGTGGAAGTCGTCTGACAAGCTTAAATAGCATCTTATTGTAAAAGCTGATAGCAGGTTGGTTATATGAGATGACATGCAAATAGACACCCCTGCAATTTGAGATACTTGCAGCATATTTAATCACCTCTCGGACCAGTGAGGATGCTGCAAGCGCGAATGCTTGTGAGGATTAATCAGATCATAATCACAAACTGTAAAACTAAGTTGGACGAGCAGGTAACAACCTATGCCGAGGTTTCTGTAGCTCTCCACTACACCGAGCGTCAGGATATACAGAAGTGTCAGATCTTTGCGTGAGCTGTTATACCTAAACAAGTCCTCAATCTGCAAGCCAAATTATTAGTTCCACCGAGCTCATCAGTAAGATCGATGCAATCTTGCATGTCATACCTCGCTATCTTGTGCTGCAATTATTCTCGTGGTTACAAAGCCTATCAGCTCATCTCTGCGGTCATCTGATCTGCTGGTATCCACAGCACCCCAAGAAATAATACCATTGCCGTTGACCACGTTCAAGAAGAACTCTCTCTCGTATCTGAGCAAAACAAATACAAGAATTAAGGGATTAATTGGTCCAAAAAAAAGGAAAAATCCACCAATAGGCTGCAACACTTCTACAACTGAACATGAAGGGTGATGCGACCGTATTCATAAGCAAGAACAGCAAAGGAGGGATCAGGGAGCATCCATTTGCAGTAGTCACCTTATGGGAAACAGCGCGAGGTGAATATTCTCAAGAACCTCGAGATCGGAAGGCTGGATAGGACGATACGCTATGGTGGGGTAGATTTCCGATCTTGGGTCCAACATGAGAAGCCCCGGTAACGACGACGACTAACCAGAGCCTCCGCCACGAGGTCCGCGGCGCGTTGCGCGGGGGGAGAGGAGCAGCTTCCGGGCGTCGAGGCGCGGCGCCGCGTCGGTGCGGTTGACCCGCGCCACAGCCGAATCGGCGGACCCAGCGCTCGGTGCAGCGCGGCGAGGAAGAGAGGCAGTACGGCGCCGGGAGACCGATCGATGCGTGACCCGGAGAGAAACGGGAGAGAGATGCAGGGGAAGGTTCTGGGTGGAGAAGGGAGGGAGGGGAGGGGAGGTGGACCAGCGGCGGCGGCGACCGGAAGGATGAGAGGAGGAAGAAAGAGGAAGCTGATCGGCTGATTTGGATTTTGATTAGTTGAAGCTAAACTGTCGAGGGGATTTCTTATTTTAATCCACCAAAAATAAGGTGCTCTTTCTCTTTAATCACCGGTGTGTGAATTGTGATTGAAAGATGCCGCCAGCCAGCCACGAGACCATTCTAGAGGTGATATGTCTCGATATCAACAGGCTAAACATAATAAATATTTTTTTATCAACAATAGCAATAAAACTATATAGGATGAATAATTTACCTCTAATCCGTTTTGTTTGATTTCGACTGGATTGCAGAAATTAAGAAATGACATAGTTTTATCAATTTGTTTTTTCATTGGGTATAATTTAAATAATGCTTCCTCTATTTATAAATATGTAAGGTTCATAATAATATTTGATTAAGGGTTTGTTCACTTTGATGTTAAAATTAACCTGCCAAATTTTGGCAATATTGGTAATACTAAAATTTAGTATGTACAGAGTAGAAGTTAGCCTAAATCATTTATTTGGTTTATTACATTCATGCATAATATATATGTAAAAATAACATGTTTTAGTATTTTCTAAGAACATGTTAGTCATTTTCTCAATAAAGATCGGTTACCAGTTACATTATGTTTGGTTTCGTACTTCTATGTACTCTGTTCATGTGATGCTACAACCAGGGTTTGCATATTCAATTATTCATCCTGTCCATCTTAAATTGAGGGTGTTAGGAACTTTCCTTCTTGGATTGAGGAGTTAGAAAGAAAATATAATAGACGGTATAGGAACCTATATTTGCAGCATGTGAGTATATGTTTAAAATTATTATGTATCATACTAAAATATAAGTATTTTGAAAAAAATGCGAGGTTTTGTGAAACATCTTAGCCTAAAAGCTATTGTTCCTTGAAATAAATTGTAAAAAATGAGGTTTTGTGTTATGGATATCAAAATATATGGTTTTGTGAAATTTGCTTGTAATTTTGTATAGATGGTTTTGTTAACATGGTATTGTCTTTTTCTTAAAGAAAATGTATTGTCTGGTTACATGGGAGTGGCCCTGGCACCCTCATCCTATTTGACCCAAGGGAACACAGGAAAACTTATTAGGAAACCCATAAAGGTTGGCGGGCTGGGCGGCCAGGGAGCGATGCCACGTCAGCGTTTTGCTACAGTAGCTACTGTGCGCGTGGGTTGGATTTTTTCGGAAAAGCCCTTCCATTTTTGGTAATCAGGTATAGGCCCCTCACGTCATGTGTTTGAAGAGAAAAAATCGCGTACAGGGGCTTCGTTGTGATATGTGGAAGATGAGAGGCTTTTTAGCAAAACAACATCCACTACCGCATACCTCTTCAAGCCCTAGCCGCCGCCAGCCGCTTCCTCTTCCTATCTCTCTCTCCCGTCCCGCGCCACCACCGAGCGCCAGCGCCGCCGTCGCCGCCTCCGCCTCTGCCTCCCCCTCGCCCCATCCCCGTCGCCGAGCGCCGCCACCACCCCCTCGCGCCGCCGCTTCCACTCCCGCCGCCGTCGCCGCCCCCTCAAACCCTAGCCGCCGCCACCCGCTCGCTCTCCCTCTCCCGCGCCGCTACCGAGCGCCGCCGCCTCCGCCTCCCCCTTGCGCCGTCCCCGTCGACCGGCACCGCCACCACCCCCTCGCGCCGCCGCCGCCGCCTTCCCATCGCGCTGCCACCTCCGCCTCTCGCCGTCCCCATCGACGGCCGGCTCCGGCTCCGGCTCCCCCTCACGCCGTCGCCGTCGCCGAGTGCAGCCGTCTCTGCCTCCGCCACCGCCATCGCCGTCGCCGAGCGCCGCCGCTGCCGCTCCCTCCTTGTGTAAATGCGGCCGATTTGAGGACGGGGATAGGGTTTTCGGGTGGATTTGTGAGGGGGATAGATTAGAGTTTCTGGTTTTCTGGTTTGGTCATCGGAGGAGATGAGCTCGTCGACGGCGGCCAGCATCGGGCCGCCGCAGCCGCCGCCGCCCCCCACGTCTCCCGAGGAAGGTGGGTGGCTAGGTTTGTTTGCCGCTTCGCTTCGCGGTTTGCTTTACTTTCCTTCTCGTTTGGTTGATGACTCGATCTGCTACTGGTGCAGAGAAGTGCCTCAACTTGGAGCTCTGGCACGCCTGCTCCAGCCCGCTCGTCTGCCTCCCCTCCGTCGGCACGCGCGTCGTCTACTTCCCGCAAGGCCACAGCGAGCAGGTGTCGTGGCTCAGTGCAATGGGATGCTCACTTCTGGTCAGCATGGTGTCGCTCGTCTGTCTCGTCCTGCTCCAAGTAATCTTCTGTTCTCTGAGTGTCCCCCAATTGAATGTTTGCAGCTTTTTTTTCCTGATTATATGTGTGCGCTCACGTTCTGTTTCTCTCATTTGCATTTTACAGTCCAGGGGAAACCATCAAAGACCATGGTGGATTGCCTTGCCATCTTCGTGGTAAGTATGGAGTTTTCAGTGGTTAAAAGTTTTTATTAGTACAAAAGCCAAACAAGAAAAAAAGATTGTTGACTGTAATTTACTCGAGTCTGAATGTAGTTGTCTGCTATGGTACCAGAACCAGCATAGTATACCATGGGTAATGCAGTTTGAAATTACAGTACAGCAAAGTAATTTAGGTGTCCGTTGAATTCCTTAATTGTAGACTAACAAATGTCCACATCTGTAGTAACTGAATATCACATCGCATTTGTGTTAATATATATTTTATATTGTGATTGGGTAAAAAAAGAGCTTTACGTAAGGAATTAGATGGTGAGGCTGACTTCGAATGGATCGAGTACTGTGGTTTTTATTTGTACGTTTTTTGTGATTTTCTTTTGCTATGGCTTCCATTTGGGTGCAGATTTTGAGTCCTATTGTTTGGATTAGATTGTTCAAAATGGATATTCCAAATGGATAGGTTGGCTGGGATTATTAGAAATGTAGTTTCAGATCAAGCTAATCCTGAAAATTCCACGAGGTGTGATTTATGTCTTTACAAATTTCAGACAAATTGATACTCTCTTCGTTATATTTTTCCTGTGCAGGTCATGAGACAATGCACAGCTCGGTTGATGAAGCCCTCTTGCTAAATGTACCGCATAATCAAATCAAGATGCACCTTGTTTTTTGTTTTTTTTTGTTTTTTGTTTGCATAAGAACTTTCATTTGAGCTTTCAGTGTATACTAGATCGACTCCCGCCGCAAGCTTGTCCCATTGAATAGTGATCCACCATAACCATTCACCAATTCGGTTGCAAATCTGAAATTCTATGATCTTAGATTCTTGGTACAGCTGGTGCTTCTTCTCCAAGACTCTCGCCGAGCGCGAGGCGTTCTATTACGTGGTTGACAACGCTGCTGTCATGGACTTCATCACTGTGAACACCAGCGGCTCCATCCTCATCAACATGCTCAAGGTAGCCCCTTTTCCTTCTCTCAAGTCTCACTCCTAATTAATTAGAAGAACTCTCTTTTGTTACACTCTTCTGAATATTCAAAGAACTCGACAATAATTAAACAGTATAGATGCAGAAGCTAGAAAACATGGTGGCTTCATGAGATTGATAATTACTCTATGATATTGTACATTAGAGATTTTACTTTAGCAATGTACAACACTAATGGTCTATTTATTTGCCTGTAGCAGTGAAATATCTTTGAATATTTTATCGATTACTCTGGATCATGTTGAAGGATATCTTGAATCGGCTGCAAAGACAATAATTTCGTGACGACTTTGTTCAGGTGGGGTGCAGAGTACTACATTAAAGTGGATGTTGATTTACATGTAAATTTATATGTGTGCGAAATGTTGCCCTCTGATCTAACATCATACCCCCCTTCTTTTAAGTCTTACTTTTCCTACTTAAATTTGACCTATTCAGACATTTCATTTGCATTGAATTTCTGCTAAGTATTTGGCATACAAATTGTACACTCAAAGTTGATAAAATCTCATGTTGTATTTTAGAGATGATGCTTCTGAAGCTAAATTTCAAACTCCATACACTTTAAAATTCTATCTCAACTATAGTGAGGCTCTAAAAACCAGATCGATAAATGTTGCAGCAACTCTTCGAAACATGCTAAGCATCGGTCAAAGGCTCAAGCTTACATTGGTTGCATGAAATCTGGTCCAGTCTTAGCTCATAAAAAAGTTTCCCTGTTGACTATTGCTGTTGTGTTTTCCCTGATATTTTTAACTCCTCACCAAATGCCATATTTCCCTTAGCCTGAGTATAGGAAATTTGGTGAATGGGGGAACAGGTGCATTTGGTTTACAACAATTCAGTTCTCTGTAATCTCCAAGGATCTAGCTTCTTACATATCAATTCAGCCAGTAAGGTATTTCTTCAAACATGGTTTTTTATCTACACGATATTTTTGTTTTTTTTCTAACATTTACCCATCATTGACCAAGAACAATGGTGTCATTTCAGGCTTTTTCTCTAACAAGAGTCTCCCTGTTTTGCTGTCTGGCTTTGTATATCTACTAGCTTTACCTGTATACATATATGCATTGGGGGTTAGCTCAGTTTTCTCTCACATGCTTTAGTGTTACTAGCACATGGTAGTATTTTTCATAGGTATGTCAACAAAGTAGTTTGTATGTATATCTTTAAATTGCTTACTTAACAAAGATGCGAAGAATATTGCTAATGCTTCCCTGGTCACTAGGAAATTATGAAACCTCTGTCCATAGACTTGCTAGCTAATACTGGATCACTAGACCTCATTGGCGGGAGGGGGAGGAGAGGAGGGGTTTGGCTTCCCCCCACAATTTGAGATTGTTATACATTGTGGCTTAAAGATTAAATCAACACCACTCTTAACAAATTAGGATCGCTAGCTCCATTACCAAATGATCCATTCTACCTCATAAAACATTCTTTCTCCCCTAATGGTTTCAATTGGAAGAAATTTCTTTCCTTTACCAGCTATTTGTGTCATTTATAGTTGGTCGAGTTCTCATTTCCTTTTTGATTGAGTCCATTGTTCTAATCATCTTTTGTTGTGTAGTGGCCAAACTATCTGTGTTGGATTGTTATGGGAGTATATTATAGGTCATTTTCTATCTTCAACAGCTCTTGTATCATTCATTTGTTGCTCCAAAACACATGGGTATATTGCTTCAGCATTCTATAATGCACCCCAGGAGGTGCTTGCCTTATGTTCTCTTCACAATTTTTTTAATTTTGGTTTGTCGTGTACTCTATGTACTTCCCTCTTGTGCCTTGATATATATCCGGCGGTCTCAATATTATTGGGAACTTGTCATTGTGGTTGGCAGATTCATCTTTGAAGGAGCTGCAGGTTGGACTAATTGTTTCCATCCTTTTTTACTTTAAATAAATTTTTTGCTTTATTGCTAAGCAGATTAATATTTCATTTGCATATGCATATATTCTTTATGTATTTATGTGGCCCATCTTTCTTTTAGTGTTGGTTTGCCAGTTGTTTGTGTCACACCATAATTCTCATATTAAGATATAATAATTGTTCGTGCGATTTCAATCAAAGGCATATTTAAAAATGATATGAGAATTGTTCATTATATCGATGTTTATTTAAGGGTTGTGCAATTTAAGTCACTTATTATTGTACAACCATCTAGCACAAACGTTTTTTTGTATTTTAAGAACAATTGATCTAATGTAAATAATTTCATACAGGTTGTTCTATATGTGTTCCAACTGATTCACTTGTAGAGTTAATACAAATATTGGTTGAAATGTACACACATATACGACATTGGTGCCCATCTCTTCTATCACCATCTGCGAGGCCTCACTCAAGGAGATACACCATCAGAATTTTGTGAGTTCCCCTTTAATATTTGAGTTTGTTACTTGACCCTGCAAGCTACGATGATCACAAAATTGTGTTTATTCAACAATAGCTTAAATTTCAGGACTAGAACATTTCTTTTCATCGATTATGTGCATACCTAATTGTTTGCTCGAATGTGAAAGTAATGTCGTACGATCTTGTTTCCTAGGCTTTTTTCATTTAAAAAAAAGATTTGAGCATCCCATGTTCTTGGATATGTCGAGAAGTTTCATCTTTCTTCCCATGTACAGAGTACAAACACTTTCTGTTTCCCCTTGACTATTCTAAAAAAACAAATCGGGATATGGCTTTTATTATTGTGCGCCTGTTTCAAGTGTGATAGGAGATCTTATATTGTGAAAACTTATTTCAGGTGAGGTAGAACGGGATTGTTCATTATGGAAGATTAGCACTACACTCTTGTTTGCTAGGTAAATTTTTTCCCTACTCTCTTTTCATCCTTAAGATGTGTATTATTGCCTATTCAGACATTCATCTATTTGATATTAATTTTATGATTGATTTTTGTCTGGTGTTACACATAAGATGATGATGATATACAGTCAAAGGCATACCTGATGTGATTTTTTTATTTTCCTAGGCATATAGATGATTAAAGTCAGGTCTTAAATTCCTGACAATTTTAATGTATATGCTTCTCAAAAGAATTTCTCAGCATTCTGTACATTTTCTTCTTGACTTAAAAATACTAATGAGTTACATGCAAATTTTCTTTTTAGCTTAAAAAGGATATTGAGCTAATGATAGTGATGACCAGGTGGGTAGTAACTTATTGTCTTGTCGGGAAGATTTGAAAATATTATTATGCTATATATGTTGTATATTATCGGAGCCAACCATTTACTTATAAGTGATTATGGCTGGCTGCAGTGTTCCTTTTGAACATTTATGTGAATTTTGAAGCCTGGATACATTATGAAATCCGAATATCTCCTTTTCTTTTCATTGGAAAAAAAATTTGTATGCAACTTTTTTTCTGAGCAATTACTTCCTGTTGTAGAGGCTGCAGAGTTTGAACTTGTTGAGCCCATCTAAATACTCTAAAGGAGATGCTGAAAGAGGAGGTGGATGAGAGCACTAAAAGAAAGTTTGATAGTTGTGGGTTGTTCTTTGGTTTACTATGGTTAAAAAACAAACTATGCAGTTCAGTTTCTGATAGTATTTGTCTTCCCTAGCTATTTAGAATGTGTAAAGCATGTTTATTATCTTAGTCTTAGCTTTCCATTTCTGATTTTGGGGCTATCATGTATTCTAATTCCCATTTCTCCTTTGGTTGGGAACTCTGTGATGTGAATAGGCTTTGGTACTAAATTTTTATGTTGCTTTAACTATAGATTGATAATTGAACTTTGAGATTCATCTGTATTGCAAATATCGCTTTGGTATTACTGTTCTGACTCTGATTAAGTTTGCAAAATGATGATTCTCATTGTATGTTGTGCAGGAGCTATCTAAGGAAAAAGAATAAATAAGATCTTATCCTCTTCAACATGATGCTATCATCCTTGGTCATCAGGAAAAACTCAGAAGACCATGGACCACTCCTGCCACTCGTTGTAAGAAAGATGATCATAAATCCAATCTGATATTAGTTCTGTAAACCTAAATTTTTGTCCTAATCTATAATACCAACAAATTTAGGTCGACAAAAAAAATCAATACGAAGAGATCATGCTTAATTTTATAAATGGCTGACCTCAGGGAAAAATGTTGCGAGGATTGGGGAAAAATTGTTGCACATCAATCTTTCTTCATGACGAAAATGATGCCCACCTATCTTGCTTACAAAATGATATATTTTACGATTGGTGTAGGGTCATATGCATTATCACTTCTTCTCAATTTTATGCTGTTTTTTTCATATGATCAGAGATAAATTGTGCCTCTGTTATGATAGGATACATACATTTTAATATTAGTTATACACTCAGCAATATTTATTGTTTCAAACATAGTCTCTCAGATTAGCGCTACACTTTCCTATGATTCCATTGCTTTGTTCGCCTTTGATTAATTATTGTTTGTTCGATCATATTGGTTGACGTGGAATACAAAACAGTCAGGGGTCTTCTTTGTGAAATGAGTTCATTCGAACACAGCCTAATTGGGTTACAGTTCTTTGATGGGATTCAGGAAGGCACATATGAATGGTGCATAGAATTTATCTAATTTATCTAAATGCTCCAAAACACTACTTTGTGCAATATTTTTTGGTACAGCACCAATTCTCCTTTATGTTCACCGTTCTTCTTGTTGAGCAAGCATTTAGAGGTGCCATCTCCCAGCTTCGAAGCTAATTTTTGATGCAAGGTTTGGCTCGTATCAATTTTCATTGTGGGGGGGGGGGGGGGGGGGGGAAGGTTTGTTCGCATTTGATTTAGGCAAATGGCATTCTCATTTTTACCATTCTACTGCCTCCAAACCCCAGTTACAAGAACAAAAATCAAATGATAAAAATGAAATATTGAGATTAAGAGCATTGCAAATAATATTCTTTCTAAAAATAGATGCAATTCTTCTGAGTCCATGTGATGAACCTTTTGGAGTGGTTAGGATCTGATCATGAGAATTGTCAGTTATACACCTATTTAAGAAATCTCTCAAAACGTGTATGATTAATGTAACGAGTTAAATAATTTATCCCGATGCCTAATCTAATCCTTTACTCAATTATCTTGCAGGCAATCTTGATCAGTTAATTGCTCCAGTTTAAAGACTTTTTTCACTATAGGCAGGTGAGACTGAAGATTGTTTGTCAGTTGAAACTGCGCTGTGTAGACAGTAGCCCTTGCTTGAGAAATGATGGCTATGACTTTGACCCTTTGATCATATGGAACAACAACACTTCAGTATGCAAGAAGCTCTTGGAAGTGGCCATTTACATAGTGCAAAATATCCATGAATTACTATTATCCCTTTTATCCATCAGAATTATGTTACTTGTCGTCTATGGTTTTAATAACACCAAATTTTGGTGTAAACATGGTATCTAAACACTGTTGAGCGATCCAGCTATTTAGCACTTGGAAAATCTACCACTAAGTTATGTCGACAATTTTTTTTCTTATTTACATCCTAAGCTTCTACCAACAACATAAAATATATACATTTCATCTCTGTGTATCTGGCTCTATGAACTTTATTGCCCTCTTAATTCTTTCTATTGCACCGTTCATGCTACAATAACTCGATAATTCACTACCATCATATACCATACATATCTAATTATATGCAAACGCTAACACACTGCATCCTGTCATTCCTATTTAATTCTCTATACCATTTTTCTAATACATATAACTGGCATCAAACTTCACACTTCCTTACCGTACTGACAAATGCGTACTGTATAGAACAAGCTGTGCACATGCCTTACCGTACTGACAAATGCATGTAGAACAAGCTGTGCACAGGAGGCGCGCAAAGGCGCGCCCCATCCTCTAGTTCATGTAGAAGCCCGTTAATCTAGTACTAACAACATGGGACCGATGCATGAGGTACTACTTGCGTGCTCTTCTTGGCTTCATTTGGGTTGGGGACTGTGTTTGGAGCAAAACGATACATGGATTAACGCATAACTAACTATATATTAGCTAAAAAATTTAAAATGATTAATATAATTTCTTTACAACTTTACTATAGATTTTTTTTAAAAAACATCGTTAACAGTTTAGAAAACACGCACGTGAAAAATGAAGAAGAGAAATTAGCAATGTGGAAAAAAGAGTTAATTGGATCCATTCCATTATAAATTCTTTAGTTTTGAAATATGACATTACTATTCACTTATTTGAAGTGATGCCATTAGATTGAAGGTATTTGAAATATGCCGCTACATACCCTTTTAACACATTTAACAAAAACTTTAAACCAAATTGCCCTCGTCCTTTTCCTTTGTCTCCTCCCATCTCTCCTGTTCATCTCCTTGATTTCTTCCTTCCTATTTTTCGCCTGTGAATCTCGGCTAAGGACACCCCCTTCACCTTTACTCCGGCGCGGTCCTTCAAATCCCGCGAGGAGGAGATGAACGTGGCGTCGAGGGCTGGGTCGAGGCGGTACTATGGTTCGACCCTGTGAAGTGGACGACGCCGAGGGACTAGAGGCCCTGGCGTTGGAGCTCAGCCATAGCCGAGGGACCGTGATGGTCGTCGTCCTCAGCGGGGAAACCAGAGCTCGGACGCTCAGTAGCGAGGTGCAGGGCTTATAGTGGCTGGGTAGACATAGGCTTGGTGGATCCATGGCAGCAGAGATGAATAGGATAGATGGGAGGAGACAGAGGAAGGAGACAATGATAATTTGGTACAAATTTTTTGTTCAATGCATCAAAGGGGTATACAGTGGTATATTTCGAATATATGAAAAAATGTAATGGCATGATTTCAAATAAGTGTACAGTAATGGCATATTTTAAAACTGAAAAATTTATAATAGCATAAATCTAATTAACCCGTAAAAAAGACAGCTCAAGAATACGTGAGAACACATGAGACGCCTCTTCACTTGACACTTGATACGTGCGCCCTTCAACGGTCATCATGGCGAAGCCGATCTCATCTCAACATTTTTTCAAGTCTAAAATCTCCGATCACGCTAACACTGCATAACGAGGGGTTACTATAGAAGCTAAGGCCACCACTTCATAGGTTATAGCAGACATTCTTTGCTCTTGCAGTTGATTTCCTTGATAATAAAGTAATCAGAGAGAATGTATTGGAAGAGGGTTATTCCCAATATCCATATAAGATTTTTATTTCTTTTACATAGCCTAGGAGTAGTTGATTTATTGTTTTAGAATTAATCGCAACGGCAAAAATGGTTCGTCATCTCTAAAATCAAAGCAAGCCCATATGTCTCAAAATTTTTTTGGAGAAATTTAAATCTACAACTTAGAAAATATGCTGATAACAAAATATCATAAATTATTTATGTTTTTAAGAGGAAAAAAATATAATATCTTCATCTGACTTACACTTCAGCGATAATGTTTAGACAATTGATCAAATGTTTAGCCACTGGATGGATAGTCACACCATGTGTCCTTTTTATGCGCAGGAGGTGGAAACAACTCACCATATATTGGTGGAGTGTATCTTCACGACAAGTTTGGTATAAGTTGCTGTTCAGTGTCAGGTTGGCATCCCTATCACCCCGCTGACAAGCTTCGTTTCCAATTTGGTCGGAGTTTTCTCGCCAGCAGCTGTAAGTCACAACAGAAAGGGGGTTTGACTCCCCTTGGCTACCTCATCCTCATCTTTACCTGGCACCCGTGACTAGAAAGAAACGCTCTGGTCTTCGACGGAATCTTTCTACGGTGGAGATGGTTGTTGATCACATCGTGCAAGAAGAGAAGCTTTGGGTTGCGGCGTTGCCTAATCCACTAGGAGACTTTTTTTTTTGCACTAGTGAATAGCCTTTTTTCCTTTCCTCGTTGTTCTACAAGTTCGGTTTCTTCCTTAGTTAGTATAGTGTGCCCTTTCTCTCCTCCATAACTTTCCATGATATGCATTATAAAATTTCTCTTTTTTCTAATATATCGATGTGTTTTTGCGTGTTAAAAAAAGTTTCGACATGGAGACCTTTTTTTTCAATCGGTACTGCAGTAGCTCTTTGGTTAAGTATTGGAGCAACACTACCCATCGAAAAAAATTTTAGGACCGTTTTTCTTCCATCCAAAGCGCTGCCGTCGCAGCCACCGGTCGGGTCGAGCCGCGAGTCATCTCTGCATAACCCCCGTGACTGACTGGTTGGGGTTGGACCGGTTTTCATCTGTTCTTGTCCTGAGAGGAGGCGAGCAGAAGGCTCGTGCGACCGCCACGAGAAGGGCGACGACGGCGGCGGGATCAAGGTCACTCTCGACTCGACGACGACGGCTTGCTCGACGGCGGCGGCTGGCGGCTCATCCCCAAACCCTAGGTCCGTCCCAACACTCCAAGAAGCCGGCGCGCGGCGGCAGCGGGATCAGGGTCGCTCTCAACGGCGACGGCGGCTGGCGGCTTGCTCGATGATGGCGGCTGGTGGCTCATCCTCAAACCCTATGTCGAGAGAAGCCTCGTCCTCGGCGGCCGCCGCGGCGGCGGGGGTGGCTGTGAGGGATGTTGGGGATGACAAGCCCTTGCCGTCGGCGGAGGTTGACATCACCTACTGGGCGGCGCAGGAAGAGGCGGCTGCGCTGCTTGAGTCGATGGCCGCGAGGGCTCGTGGGGAGGACGACCTACCGGAGGAGCAGCTGCAAGCCAATAACCAACTACAGGAAGACGAGGTAATGCTTAGTACTAGTACTAGTTACTAGTTCGCCCATTGCACTAGAATGTGTGTATAAGTTCCCAAACAGTATCAGTATGCAGAACCATCAATCATGCTTATGGTGAACAAATTTCGAAGTTACTGTTTATTTGTGCGAAGATTTATTCCGGATGTACTGTGCGCAGTAGTACTCAAGTCTCCTAAGACAGATATTGCAGTGAAATTACACCTATATAACATTCTGGTTTCTCTCGGAGGTCCTAAAATCTGCCCAGCAGTTCTGATGAGCGCATCACTTTCAATTAGGATACCAAAATATGGAGATATATTTATCAGGAAAGATTAGGATCACTCAACTTATACGTAGCTATTGCCTGGCGTAATGGATTAGCACATTGGAATACTGCCAGTTCAAATAGCCTAAGTAGTGTTATGTTTAGGTAATAGCACTGCAAGCTATTTTTGGTGATGATATGGTGATCTTGGAGAATAAGGACAATCTTCGATTTATTCAGGTAACATAAGTTTCTTTTGAATCTTCTGTTGTCCTCAACTTCTATCTTTTGAGAAGATTGTTCATGAATTATTCCACAGATTTTTGTGCATTATACACTTCCTGATAGTATCCGTGTGTTCTTGAATCTTCGTCGAAGTGGAGCTATGGTTGGAACTGATGATAGTGAAAACCACAATGGCGGAGAACTCTATCATCTTGCAGGTTGCAGCATTTGCCACCTGTTGTGCTAACATGTTTGTTGCCACGGTCATATCCAAGTATATGTGCTACATATTTTACCATTTCAGCTAAATGGTTGGATGAACCAAAGGTCTCATACCTGTGTGCTGCGCTTGATGAGGTTTGGACAGAGCTTCCAGGGCAAGAAGTCATATACAGATGGGTGGATTGGCTGAATAGCTCTTCGTGGTCTTCCATTGCTTTGAATGATGAAATAGTGTTAGATCCAGATAAAACATTAAAAATTGGAGATGAACGAGCTATCGCGAGAAGAATTTTAGTTGAGTCTACTATTCCTCTTATGCAGAGTTACAGTGAGAAGAGATCTCATAAGATATTTTTGGAAAGCCTTCTCGTGTGTGGAATTTGTCTAAGTGAGGATGTTGGTAATTCTCTTGAACTATTAACCTAGTTGCTTTGTCATTTGTTACTTCTGCTACATTTTTTTAAAAGTTTCTATTATTGCACTTTACAAGGCAGAAATTTCATCAAGCTCCCATGCCATCATTCCTTTTGTTTGAAGTGTATGGAGTCTCACTGCAAAATCCATGTGAAAGAAGGGAATTTAATGCAGCTGGCATGTCCTGATACAAATTGCCGCAATCCACTTCCGCCATCCGTATTGAAAAGCCTTCTACGAGATGATGGATATGCACAATGGGAATCATTTGCTCTACAGAAACTGTTAGATGCAATGCCTGATCTAGTTTACTGCCCCAGGTGTTCTGCTGCTTGCTTGGAAGTTGACAATGATGCTCAATGCCCGGGTTGTTTTTTTACCTTCTGCACTTTGTGCAAACGCCGCCGCCATGTGGGGGATACATGTATTACTCCTGAAGAAAAAATACGCATTTTGAAGGTAACAATAGCATAATCTGTTAAGAATTTATCATTGTTGTGAAATCCAGTAATACTGTATGCATTGAGTATCTATAGATTTTTTTTATGGTTGTTAATTATCATATGGAGCTCACTTTATATGGTCATATGGTTGCAGTGCTTATCTACAGTAGTTCAAAGTATTGTAAAGGTTCCCATGTAATAATTCTGTTTGAATTTATTTCATGTATGCTGCTTTCCTTTCACAAGATGTTCACATGAACTTTTGTGGGTGCATGAGTTTATTATTGTACTAGGGCAGATCTTTCTCAGTGACAACATGCTTATGTATCTGATTTAATAATGAAAGGGCCTGACAAGGATGTCATCTATGCGAGTAGGCCCCAGACCCCAAGTTGTTTCCCCGGTAATTAGCTAGTGTTAGTGAGCTAACCAGGGTACACAAGGCATTCCATTCTGCCCACTGCCTCTTCTTTCTTTTGTTTCCTTTTTCTTTCCCTACAGGATTGCTTTAAGCTAATTGTAATGTTTTTTCCCTTCTGCTATAACATACACACAGCTATGCTGTTTTTTTCATAAAGGAAAAAAATGAAGAATGAAAATGCCATGGTCTATTTGATGGTGTGAATCAAATTTCCTACATCCTTTTTTTAAATCTATTTAATGTTGTTCACTGGAGTACTTTATAACAGGAACGACAGAAATTGTATTCCATACCAGAGGAACAATTGTTGAAAGAAAAGAGGGAAATAGACGAGTTGATAAATATCCAGGAAGCACTTCGTGATTCTAAGCAATGCCCTCGTTGTAAGATGGCTATCTCAAAAATTGAAGGTTGCAACAAGATGACATGTGGGAACTGTGGGAGATTCTTCTGCTATCGTTGTAACAAAGCAATTGGAGGATATGATCATTTCTGGTATGCTGTTGATTAATGTGCAAATATTTCATATTCGATTTTCTGCATATTGAGCTAGCAACTGAAGTTATTCCTACCGAAGGAATGGAAACTGTGATATGTTTGAGAGGGAACAAGATGAAAACCCACAGCAGCAGGATGATGAAAATTTTGGTGGCGACCCTGACGAAGATGCTGAACTCTTAGAACCTGAATGGGTGCTGTTAACTTATCCCTGTCCAAACTGTGGCCGTCGGAATGAAAAGGTTAGCAGCAGTGAACTTATTTCACCGGATTAATTTGGCGTGTTTTTTTTTTCTTTTCCACCTAGAGCATGGCAGTTTTCAGTAAATTTCTGCTTAGCTTTTGGCTTGTACTAGTAAATTTCTACAGGACACTGCTTATGTGTGGTTTTAGGCTTTTAGCCCTAGGACAAAATTTGCCTAATAAGTAGTATATGTTCTGAAATGTCCCGATGTAATATTTCTGCTGTTCCTTACATGTGCACATGGATTTCAATTCATGCTTAATATCATCTGTCATGTGACAGTCATACATGTACAGACTGTTGCTGTAGTTAACGCTTCCCTTAAGTTGTAAAAAGCCAAATGAAATCTACCACACAAATGCAGTTTACTAACATCTCATGTTGGCTCTTACTAACAGCTCGGTACCAACAATCATATACTTTGCATCGGATGCCGAGGCCATTATTGTGCGTTGTGTCGGAAAAGAGTTTTGAGGGGCGAGCAACACTTTGGACCTAGAGGCTGCCAGCAACACACTGAAGATTGATAGAGATCTCGTATGTTGATCGCTATGCAGAATGTTGTTTTGCCTATTCCAATGGCATACTCGTACCTCTGTTTCTGACACCCGCTTTGTACCCAAAATTAGAGTTTTCCTGTAGCTGTATCATTTAATTTGCATCAGGAATTTCATAACACTTACCAGTTATAGGCAGTTACACTGTTTATGTTTGTGGAAAAACAGATACCATGCACCTGATTTGAACAAAACAGGTTTTGGCTTGTAATTAGTGAACAGTTCAGGTGTGTGGAGAATGAAAATTCAATTATCCATTTTAAGCATGTACCGGCCAGTTGATTTATTTCACAACTCTCAAAACTGCGTCAGTTCATTCACGATTAACTCTACAATGCGTATCTTGTTGGTAACCTGAAATAGTTTCTACTGCGCACTACTGTTCAGGAAGCATTTTACCGTAGAAACCTGAAACCCTGTACTAGTGTACTGGAAGTAATTTGGAAGGAATCAAGGACGTTCTACTATGTAGTATGTACTCCATTAGAGAGGGCATTCATGGTCTGAATCGATAATCACCATGGTCCTCAATGAGAGCAAAACCACGCACCACAGAGCGAGCCCGAAAAGGAAGACGACAACGTCGTCGCCGGTTCGACGCGGACGCCACCGGCGATGGAGCCCGCGGAGCGGTGGCGCCATCCTCGAGGTTCCTTCGCCGCCGTCGCCACTGCGGCGGTTTCAAATGATATTACTAGTCCTAAAATATGAGCTTTTTCAAATGATTTTGGTTAAATGATATGCATATATTATGAATCTGGATAAATAGTTGCGTAAAAAAAAACTGGATAAATGGCTTGTTCAAATTAATATCCGTCTAAATTCATATCACTAGAGTTTATCTCATCCAACAAAAATTCCTAATATTTTATAACGGGACTAATCTTCGATCTCAGCCACCCATACTAAATTGGATGTAGGGCTGAGGGTGACTTTGGAGTATAAACGGTAATATAAAATAATTGAAAGGTCTAATATGCAGACTACTAAATGATTACCATATCTTGATCTGCGCCGCCGACCTTCAATCGGGTGGCAACCTAAATACCCGGTTTTATAGTTTGGGGGTACTAGATGGACTCTTGGGTAAGGGTGGGCATTCGATCTGACCGAAAATTTCAGTCTTTGTCTTTGGTCTTTCGGTCATTTCGGTCTTTAAAAAGTGAAGACCGAATTTCAACACAAAAATGTCAGGACCGAAAAATTCGGTCTCAGTCTTGGTCCTGACCGAAATTCAGCAACATTTTCACATATGCAAAGAAATAATAGAAAATTTCAACACGAAATCACAAAAAAAAATCGTAAGCACATATGAGTAAAGACTCTTATTAGGTTGTATGCCTAGAAGAAGTAGGAATGTGAAAATTAGAGTTTAATCCTATTGAATTTAGTGGATTGTAGGTTGCATTTAGACATTTTTTTTAATTTGGTCTATTCGGTTAACCGAGGTGACTAAGCGAATTGACCGAATAAAATTCGGTCTTTCACTGCCTAGAACCGAATTGATGACCGAATTTCTCGGTATCGGTCTTTTTGGTTCGATCTTTTTCTGCCCATCCCTACTCTTGGGCATAGTTTAGGGGGGATTTGACTTTTTCCTTGCATTTAAAATAGTATAGGTTCGCGTGAAAAAAACTTACTCCCTCCGTCCTAAGATTTTGGGTGGATGCAACATATCCTATCACAATAAATCCGGATAGTCAAAAATCCCTTATGTCATGGGACAAAGGGGTACCTACTCGATATCGTCCGCCTAGTTTTAATCGAACGGTGGACACGAACCTACGTTTTTGGCGTCTAAAACGGTAATACGCCTTAAACCGAGGGTCTCCCCAAGAAAACTACCTCAACCAGTTTGTACTGGGCCGCGGCAGCTGACTATCGGGACCCACCCGTCAGCGTGATTGCGAGGACGGCCCCTCTTTCTTCAACCATAAGAAGAAAAGCAGCATCGCCGCCGCGGCAACCGCTCGCCGGAGCTCTCACCGCATCCCCGCCGTCCTCGGTACTTCTCTCAGGCGAATCTCACGTCCACGTTGGTTCCTCCGCTCTTCGCCGGTTCGCCCCGATGAGGTAACTTTTGCTTGTTTCTCTGCTTGACCAGAGAGATTCAGAGCTGGTGCTTGTCAATTGGTGCCAAAGTTCAGTACAATCTGCAGAACCAACTTATACCAAATTAAACGAATAAAATTTTGATCAATAGAACTTCGATTCGCATTGGCTAGTAGCATTTAAATGTTCAGATAATATCGAGACCACTGGTAGATTAGATTCAGCCGCAGCTGATGTTCAGTTAGTTTCAGAAAAAAAATTCTGGGCAAGTTTCAGAATTAGAGCTAATATACGGCACGATTCCTCTCGCATGAGATTCACTTTTTTCTTTTATCTTACCACAAACATTACACGCCATTAGTTCCTTCTGATTACGATTTTATGGACACTTCCGAAGACGAAGGCCAAGTGAGCAGCGGCTCGCCATCTCCCATCTCTCTAAACATCAAAGCAAGCGAACAATCTATTCCCTGGGAAATTCCGATGTCGAGCGAAGCCTCGTCCTCGTCCTCGGCGGCGGTGGCGGTGAGGGATCTCGGGGATGACAACCCCTCGGCGTCGCCGGAGGTTGACACCACCTACTGGGCGGCGCAGGAAGAGGCGACCGCGCTGCTGGAGTCGATGGCCGCGAGGGTTCGCGGGGAGGAGGAACTCTCGGAGGAGCAGATGCAAGCCAACGACCAACTACAGGAAGACGAGGTAATGCTTACTAAGTTCGCCCGTTGATCATGCTTGTGGTGAACAAATTTCCGATTTGCTGTTTATTTTGCGCGAAGTTCTATTCAGGTTGATCAGGATGTGCCACTACTGTTTCTACTATCCATAGATGCGAATATTAGGGAATGATCTAATATCAGATAATTAGAACGGGTGAGGCTTCGAACCCATGTCGTCTAGCCCACCACCTTGTAGAGCTATCCGGAAAATCCCTGGGAGTTTCTCCTGTTCTACTATCCATAGATTGCATTGGAAATTACACCTGTATGCTTAGCTTCTCAGGGAAGCTATAGTATCTGCCCTCAGCAGTTCTGATTCAGTCCATCACTTTCAATTAGGATTATTCAAGATAAATGTGTCTAGAAAGATATGATCACTCAATTTGCATGTAGCTATTGTGCTGCCGTAATGGATACGCCCAGATGAAATATTGTCAGTTTATAAAAGCTCGCTGAGTGGTAGTCCTATATAATTTTTTTTTCAGGTAATAGCACTGGAAGCTATTTTTGGTGGTGATATGGTGATCTTGGAGAATAAGGACAGTCTTCGATTTATTCAGGTAATACATGTTTCTTTTGAAGTTTCTGTTGTGCTCAACTTCTATTTTTTTAGTAGTGTAATGTTCATGAAATATTCCTCAGATTTTTGTGCACTATTCACTTCCTGATGGTATCCGTGTGTTCTTGAATCTTCGTCGAAGTGGAGCTTTGGTTGGAACTGGTGACAATGAAAACCACAATGGTGGAGAAGTCTGTTATGCTTGCAGATTGCAGCATTTACCACCTGTTGTGCTGACATGTTTGTTGCCACGGTCATATCCAAGTACATGTGCTCCATATTTTACTATCTCAGCGAAGTGGTTGGATGAACCAAAAGTTTCTTACCTGTGTGCTGCGTTTGATGAGATTTGGACAGAGCTCCCAGGGCAAGAAGTCATATACAGATGGTGGATTGGCTGAATAGCTCTTCGTGGTCTTTCATTGCTTTGAATGATGAAATAGTATTAAGTCCAGATAGAACCTCAAAATTTGGAGATGAACGTGCGATTGCAAGAAGAATTTTAGTTGAGTCTACTATTCCTCTGATGCAGATTTACAGTGAGAAGAGATCTCACAAGGTATTTTTGCAAAGCCTTTCTGAATGCGGAATTTGTCTTAGTGAGGATGCTGGTAATTCTCTTGAACTCTAATTACCATGTCATTTTTCACTTCTGTTATATATATATATATATATATATATATATATATATATATATATATATATATATATATATATATATATATACGTTTTTAAGTTTCTGCTATTGCATTTTACTAGGCATAAATTTCATCAATCTCCCATGCCATCATTTCTTCTGTGTGAAGTGTATGGAGTCTCACTGCAAAATTCATGTGAAAGAAAGGAATTTAACACAACTGACATGTCCTGATACAAATTGCCGCAGTCCACTTCCACCATCCTTATTGAAAAGCCTGCTGCGAGATGATGGATATGCACAATGGGAATCATTTGCTCTAAAGAAACTGTTAGATGCAATGCCTGATCTAGTCTACTGCCCCAGGTGTTATGCTGCTTGCTTGCAAGTTGACAATGATGCTCAATGTCCGGACTGTTTTTTTACCTTCTGCACTTTGTGCAAACAACGCCGCCATGTGGGGGACCCATGTATTACTAGACAAGAAAGAATTCTCATTTTGAAGGTAACAATAACATATTATGTTAAGAATTTAGCATTGTCGTGAAATTCTACAATATCATGTACATTGAGTATCTTTAGATTTTGTTATCATTGTTAATTATCATATATAGTTATCTTTTTATGGTTATATGGTCTCCGGGTTATCCATAGTAGCTCATAGTTTGCAAGTTTCGGTTTTGCTTGTCTGTTTACAGTTAGATGTATATGCTGCTTTCCTTTCATAAGATGTTATCCACATGAACTTTTGTGAGGGCAGAGTGCATGAGTTTGGTAGAATTTCCTAAGCAAGAACATGCGCATGTATCTAATTGAAAAATGAATCAAAGGATGTCATCTAGGCCCCAGAGTAGTTTCCCCAGCAAGATCCGTGTTAGGCCCCAAAGTAGTTTCCCCAGCAAGATCCATGGCTGTGTTTAGATCCAAAGTTTGGATCCAAACTTCAGTCCTTTTCCATCACATCAACCTGTCATACACACATAACTTTTCAGTCACATCATCTCCAATTTCAACCAAAATCCAAACTTTGCGCTGAACTAAACACAGCCCATGTTTGGAAATTATAGTGAGCTAACCAGGGTACGCAAAGCGTGCCATTGCCCACTGCCTCTTCTTCTTTTTTTTGTTTCTTTTTTCTTTTCCTGCCAGGGTTGCTTTAAGCTTACAGTCCTTCTGCTACACCCAACTATGCTATTTTTTTCACAAGAAAAAGGATGAAAATGACATCTATTTGATGGTGTGAATCAAATGTACTACAAACTTTTTTTTCTCTATTTAATGTTGTTCACTACTTTCTAACAGGAACGTCAGAAGTTGCATTCCATGCCAGCGGAACAATTGTTGAAAGAACGGAGGGAATTAGAAGAGTTGATGAATATCCAGGAAGCGCTTCGTAGTTCTAAGCAATGCCCTCATTGTAAGATGGCTATCTCAAAAATTGAAGGTTGCAACAAGATGATTTGCGTGAACTGTGGGGGATACTTTTGCTATCGTTGCAACCAGGCAATTAAAGGATACGAGCATTTCTGGTATGATGTTGATTCTTGTACATAATGTTTCACGTCCAATTTTCTGCACATTGAGCTAGCAACTAAGTTTTTTCCTGCTGAAGGGGTGGAAATTGTGTGCTGTTTGGGACCCACGCGCACTACCAAATTCGAAACCCACAGCAGCAGCGTGATGAAAATCCTGGTGACCACGCTGAACTCTTAGAACAACGGGTGCAGCTCACTTATCCCTGTCCAAACTGTGGCAGTCGGAACGAAAAGGTTAGCAGTACTGAACTTATTTCAATTGAGGGCGTGTTTTTTCCGTTTCCACCTAGAGCATGGTGGTAGCTTTCAGTAATGCTCCATTTGCTTAGCTTTTGGCTTCTACTAGTAAAATGTTTTATGTTTGTCTTATCGCTATTAAAGCTATATATGTTAATGGAAATTTGCCTCTATAACAAACTAGTATACTTATGAAAAGCCCGAGTAATATTTCTACTGTTCCTGGCATGTGCACATGCATTTCGATGTGCTGAATGAAATCTACCACATGAATGTGGTTTACTAACATCTCATGTTGGATCTTTCTAACAGCTGGGCACCAACAATCATATATCTTGCCCGGGATGCCGAGGCCATTATTGTGCATTGTGTCGGAAAAGGGTCTTGAAGTGTTCCCAACACTTTGGACCTAGAGGTTGCCAGCAACACACTGAAGATGCTAGGTAGAGAGATCATTTGTCAATCGCTATGCAGAACTTTGTTTTGCCTATTCCAGCGTCATATACTCATACACTGATTTTAAAATTGTACTTACCTGTAACAGTACCCAAAATTAGAGCTTTCCTATAGCAGTACAACTTTGGATTTGCAGTAGGAATTTCTTCATAGCACTTTACTACAGTCGATATTGGTGGAAAAAAAACAAAAGCACACATATACCTGATTTGAACGAACAAGGTTTTGGCTTGTAATTAGTGAACAGTTCAAATGTGTGGAGAATAAAGATTCAATTCATTCATTTGATCATTACAAGCTTGTACCCACCAGTTGATCTATTTCGTAGTTAACGCAATTCGCACCAGTTCATTCAAGATTCAGCGCTGCATTTCACGTCCTTGTTTGAAACCTGAAAGGAGAACCAATATACAGCACGGAACATTTTATTGTGTACGGGAAGCAATTTGAAAGGAGTCGAGGGCATTCTTTTATACCTAAAGAAGGGATAATCTTGGGATAATCAAGGCCCACTCAAGAGTTAAAAAAAAAAGAGCCTACTCAAGAGTTAAAACAAAAAGATTTGGAGGGAGAGACATCCCTCCAAACACTTTTTAGGAAGAAATTGTGAGCGTATTAAAGATTGAACATGAGACCTCGAAATTGAAACCACACACTTCTTACCATTGCACTATCAAGTGCATCTCATGACCCATTCAAAAGTTGGATCAAACGATGATGACCATGGTCATAGGTGATGCTTTTTTCTGATTAAAATACACATTTTTCTTAATTTTCATTATCACATGTTTTTCAAGCTGCTAGAGCAAACCACACATCACATTCTCCAATAGAAGAGGGTAGGAGATGTCACATCAAGCGAGCATGAGAAAGAAGAGTCTGTGTGTCGGGCCATCAACGTGCGCTCCACGACCGGAGATGTGGCACACGAAGCACTCGACCTTTCTCTTCTCAAGCAAAATGGGATCCCCACCTCTTTCACGCCATCTTCAAGGTTCTTCTCCTAGACTCTTACCATACAGCCCCTCCCCCCCCCCCCAACCATCGTCAGCTCTACTGTTGCAACTCACGTCACTATGGCGGTCTAAGATGATAATACTACAAAATAAATAAACTAGCCCCCAACACCTAATAATATTTGATCTCAGCCAACCATATAAAATCAGGTGGAGGACTGACGGTGATGGGTTGTTTAGCGAACCAAAACACGGTAATATGAAAAATTACCTCAATTGTTATTGTATCTTTGATATGAACCATCTACCTTCGATCAGATGGTAACCGAAGCACCGAAGTTTGATACAATTTAGGAGCTTATAAGGTAAAACGGTATAAAGGTGAGGGTTCGCACGCACGTCGTATATCATCCACCTAATTTTAATAAAATAGTGGAAATAATGCCTAGTTCTAAGCGAAAATGTGTACTTATACCTAGTCCATTGTGAAACGTAGTCAACAGAATATAGTATAAGATGCAATTTGCTTAAAAAAGCCCTAGGTTTTTGGCGTGTGAAGCAGGTAATAAGCATTAAATGCTCACTTCTTACCCGGTAGTAACTATTGTAGGACTAGTAAGTAGTTGCAGCCCGGTAACACGGGTACAACCGGGTAACATGAATTAAACTATCTTATTTGCAGAATGTCTCTGACAAAAGTCATGGAAATAAGTCATGGCTAGAGACGGCTATCGGTGATTTTTTCTGAAGCTGGTCCCTGGCCCACACTACTGACACACTACTATCAAGTTGGGCAAGTAACATTGCTGTTGCCCTAATGGGCCGCGGCAGCTGACTGATTGGACCCACCCGTCAGCGTGATTACGAGGACGGCCTCTCTTTCTTCAACCTTAAGAAAGCAGCAACGATGCTGCGGCGGCCGCTCGCCGGAGCTCCGCCCGCACTCGCCGTCGGCACCTCTCTCTCCGGTGAATCTCGCGTCCACGTTGGTTATTCCGCTCTTCGCCCCCGTTGAGTTAACTTTTGTTCTTTTCTTTTCCTCTGCTTCAGAGATTCAGTGCGGCTGCTTGTCAATTGTTACCAAAGTTCAGTACAATTTGCAGAACCATTACCAAATTAAGCGAATAATTTATTTATCAATAGAACTTCAATTCGCATTGGTTAGTAGCATTCAAATGTTCAGATAATCGCGAGACCACGGGTAGATGTAAGCCGCAGCTAATGTTCAGCAAGTTTCAGAATTTTTTTTGGGCAATGTTTCAGAATTCAGAGCTAATATACGGCACGACTCCTCTCGCATGATATTCACTGTTTTTTTTATGTTACCAAACAGTGCAAGCCGTAAATTCCTTTCGATTACGAATATACATCGTTCGAAGACGAAGGCCAAGTGAGCAGCGGCTCGCTCGTCGCGGCCGTGGAAATTACCATGATGACGCCGGGATCGTCCTCGACTTCGGTGCCGGGAGATGAGGCCGACGCCGGCAACTGGGATGCGGGGGTGGAGACGGCGGCGCGGCTGGAGGCGATGGTTCATGCGGAGGACGAACTCTCGGAGGAGCAGATTCAAGCCAACAACCAGACACAGGAAGATGAGGTAGGACAAGGATTACCCCTGCTGTTTCTTGGATCATCTTTTCTGCTGTACTTTGCACAGTTACGCATATTAGGTTTCTGACAGACTTGCACTGATAGATCGATTTTAACATATTATCCAGGAATATCTTGTATCAATGTGGTACCTATATGGTTCAGTTCAGTTAGGGGGTGTTTAGATCCAGGGGTGTAAAGTTTTGGTGTGTCACATCGGATATTATATAGGGTATCGCATGGGGTGTTCGAGCACTAATAAAAAAATAATTACATAATCTGTCAGTAAACCGCGAGACGAATTTATTAAGCCTAATTAATCCGTCATTAGTAAATGTTTATTGTAGCACCACATTGTCAAATCATAGAGCAATTAGACTTAAAAAATTCGTCTCACAAATTAGTCGTAATCTGTGCAATTAGTTTTTTTAGACTATATTTAATAATACTTCATGCAGATGTTCAAACGTTCGATGTGACAAGGTGTAAAATTTTAGGGTGGGATCTAATCAGGCCCTTAGTTCAGATAAAAAGCACAGATCTGTTGATGTGTTCAGTTCTACCGTTAAGTACATATGACCAGATGATTGTTATTGCCGATGATACTATCTAGTAATTAACCTGATATGAATCTGCAGCTGCTGGCACTACAGGCCATCTATGGTGATGATTTGGTTATCTTCGACAATAAGGACGGCCTTCGATTTTTCCAGGTAACATCACCCCCTCATATCTTCACCGTGAAGAACCTTGCAGTTTCAGAAGAAAAAAATTATGATTAATGTCCACGTCTCATTGTCCTCAGATTTCTCTGCACTATCAACTCGCCGGTGACATCCGAGTTTACCTGAATGTCTGCCCCAACGGGAGAACAGAAACCGGAGCAGAAAACGACGACGACGACGACAGTGACCGACTCTTGTATGCTTGCAGCCTGCAGCATCTGCCTCCTGTTGTGCTAGCCTGCCTACTACCACGTTTATATCCGAGTCACCGTGCCCCCTACTTCGTGGTCGCCGCGAAGTGGCTGGACGAGCCGGAAGTTTCAAGCTTCTGCTCTGTTCTTGATGAGATCTGGGCAGAGCAGCCTGCAGGGCAAGAGGTGGTGTACAAATGGGTGGACTGGCTGAGCACCTCTTCCTGGTTTTGCATTGCTTCAGATGATCAGATTGTATTTGGACCAGATGCAGACTCGGCTGGTGGTGATGACCGGGCAATCGGAAGAAGCTGCTCCCTTGATTCTATGATCCCTCTAATTCAACGTTACAGCAAGGAGAGATCACATGAAATTTTCGCTCGAAGAATCCATGAGTGCGGAGTCTGTCTCAGTGAAAATACAGGTAATTGATCCATTTGGTGCTCAAACTGTGCAATGCTTGCTCAAGTTTTAAATTTGTTCTTGTACACTGATATGGCAGGCAGAAACTTCATACAGCTCCCATGCAGCCACTCCTTCTGCGTCAAGTGCATGGAGACGCAGTGCAGGATCCACGTGAAGGAAGGGAGCGTGGCGAGGCTGACATGCCCGGACACGTCGTGCCGCCGGCCGCTGCCGCCGGCGCTGCTGAGGGGCCTCCTCGGCGACGGCGAGTACGCGCGGTGGGAGTCGCTGGTGCTGCGAGGATGCTGGACACGATGCCCGACGTGGCCTACTGCCCCAGGTGCAGCGCCGCGTGCGTGGCGGCCGGCGACGACGCCCAGTGCTCGAGGTGCTTCTTCACCTTCTGCGCCGTCTGCCGGGAGCGGCGCCACGTCGGGGACACCTGCGTCTCCCCGAACCAGATGCTCGACATCATGCTGGTAATTAACTAATTCTAACAATGCCATGCATGGAGAGAGTTCTTCCTTCCTTGATCTCATGACACACAAACTCTCACGGTCTCACCGTCGATCTGTTGCAGGAACGGCAGAAGGAGAAGAGGCCGTTGGCGGCGCCGTCGCCGGACAGCCAGGCGGTGTCGTCGAAGAGGAAGATGGAGGAGCTTCTGAGCCTCCGCGAGGTGATGCGCACGTCGAGGCAGTGCCCGTCGTGCAAGATGGCCGTGTCCAAGACGGCCGGCTGCAACAAGATGGTGTGTAGCAACTGCGGCCGCCCCTTCTGCTACCGCTGCAGCAGGGCCATCACCGGCTACGAGCACTTCGCGTACGCATCACTCCCCTGCCCCCAAATCAAATGACCAAATCTTTCTTCTCCTATGATCTTCTTACCTCTCTGCTTTGGCGTCGACGCAGTGGGGAGTGCAAGCTGTTCGAGAGCGTCGGCAAGGGGTGGTTCCCGGGGCAGGCGATGTGGATGAACCTCGAATACGACTACGACGAGATCGCCGAGATCGGGACGCCCTCGTGGATACGGGCTATCAGGTATCCCTGCCCTACCTGCGGCGCCAAGCGCACCAAGGTTAGTTTACCAAGCAAACTTCAGAATGATTTTTACTACTTCCTTCGTTTCATATTATTATAAATCGGTTAATATTTTTCTTAGTTAAACTTCTTTGACCATGTTATCAAAATATATTCAATATAAAATTTAATCAAACTAATTTGATATTTTAGATATTGCTAAACTTTTCTATAAACTAGGAAAAAAGTTAACTAAAGTACTAATCAATTCTTCAGAGATGTAAGTACACCAGGCAGTAAAATGGATTGGTTTTGCTGCTTTGCAGTCGGGCAACAATGACCTTCTAACGTGCAGAGGATGCCGAACCCATTACTGCGCGCTGTGCTCGAAGAAGGTATGGAGCATCGCCGAGCACTATGGGCCAGCAGAATGACTGACATGGCAGTACATTAACTCAGCAAAGAGTAGATGACCCACTGTTCACATAAGCATTTGCAAATTTTACTTACTGTGTAATGGGAGTAATTTAAAAGGAATCAAGGGCGCTGCCGGCTGCCAGTTCAGCAATGCTAGCATGTAGTCTCAAACTCTCAAAGCTGCCGTTACAGAGTATAAACTGTTCATATAAACAAATCTGAAAATAAAAAGGGAGTCAGAGAACATAATCAAGAATAACCCCGCAAAAGAAATCGATCATGTTGCTATTCTCACACACGATTCATTGACTATATACATCGCTCCCGGTAGTTTAAGCACACAGAAGCATCTGATTTCATGAAATGCTTGGACATTTCGTACAAATTTTTTCCATACAATGCAAACATTTGAATGTACGGTACATCATGAATTTGCTTGTGGAATCTTGTTTTTTTTTTTCGCCGGGACCTTGTGGAATCTTGTTGCTGATTAGTTCCATAAGACAGCCCCAGTCAAAAACCTATGGTTCAGTACAGCTTCAGCAATTGGACGCTTACGATAGTCCGGATTTAGCATTGCCTATGGCAAAGAAATCAGTCAGTGTTCTTTCTGAATATATATTTCGGTGAAACCAATAGTCGGATTACTCAATCCTATGTGTTGTTTCTGAATATATATTTTGGTGAAACCAATAGTTGGATCACTCCATCCTATGTTCTGCAATACTACTAGCATATTCAGATATTCTTCAGCAGCGGAATTTTTTAACAATATGTATATGATTCATAGAGGCAAACCTGCAACAACTCCCAGCCGGCACCATCACCCAAGTCTAGAAAATCTACAGCTTCGGACAACCGGTCATCTGCCAGAAAGTACCTACAAAAAATTCCTGAAGCTAATAAGCATGCCTATTGAATTTGAATATCATGACTGAAAACCAGTCGAGAAATAAGCAATAACAGTTTTCTCAAGTAGACTTGAGAGTGAGTAGATCTCTCTACAACTAAACTATGAGAAATCTGGTTTTGTTCTAGAAAGACATACTCTCTTGCAGCATAAATGTCGAGACGGAACGTATTCTCCAAAAGTCTCTGCACAATAAACCTATGCTATATTAGTTATCTCAATGCTATGAGGAAATCACCATTTTATTTATGAATTACAATAAAATATCCTCAGTGACCTGCAATGAAATGCCATCCATAGTTCCTGCTTCGCAAAAGGGAATAAATGACATGTATGCAAGAAGTAGCCCAGCTCCATATCTGTTTTGTCAAAAGTACATAAGAATACATGTAACTAGTGCTTTGTCAATAAGAGGGAAAGGAAGATACTTGCATGTCGTCAGCTATTCCAAAAGCTCGCTTCTCCAGAGGAGTTGATGCTCCAGCAGCAGATGCTCGACGCCACAGTCCATCCGACAATGCTCCAGAACCAACAGACGAATACCTGCGATTGTCAAAAGTATCTGTTTTCTACAATGTTTTCTTCTTTTCTCCATAAAACAAATGTAGGAAGGGAATAGACATATACCCAATATCTACAGAGAAAGCTAAATCACGGAGATGCGGAACCAAATAGCGCCCATTTTTCTCTGCTACAGTACTAAAGAAAGTCACATCTACTAATGGTTAGTTGAATTGAAATATCATAAACTACAAAATGAAAATTAAAGCATTCCAATAAAAAAGAAAACTAAAGGAGGAAAATGCAGCATACTTGAGAACAACAGAAGAGGGACCAAGGCTTTGGTGCAGTCTATCATGATTATGCATGTGAACAAGGCCACACATAGCTCCATAAAGCAGCTTAAGAACAAAGTATCGCTTTAGTTCCAATTTGTATGCTCGATCGTAAGGATTCCAGAACGATATGGATCCAGATTGCTCCTTCAGTTTTCTTTCACTGGTTAATTTTGCATAGTCTGCAGCACTATATCTCCCGTCATCACGGAAGGCAAGCCACTGTACAAAAGCTGTATAAGTCTCACAGTCACAGCATTATACTGACAGTCTGTGAATGGACAAGCTTATGTGGTAGACCTGCTCTCCAGTAGCCGTCTCAAAGGCTCCTAACAGAAACTGAATGTTCTCGCAGATGTCACTAGCATCATTCTGTAAGTATAAACCAAGAAAAAAAATATTTTTACAAATGTCTTCTCTACCAAATCATTCAGACTTGCAGGTTTCTGTTAGCAGTTCTGTGAATTTCCTAACCTGAAGAAAAGCATGAGTTCTTAGCTCATTAACTGCCATCAAGTCAGCTTCAGAAGCACCAGAACGGGACCCAGGATATACCTTTGTTTCAAAACCTATGTCTTAGCACACATAAGATAGTCAATAGATTCATACATCTAGAGCGGAGAAAGGTAGCACCATCATATAATCCAAGCAATACCTTAAATAGAGCTTCTGTGCCCTTCAGTGGACCTTGAACCACTCTTCCCTCATAAAGTCTGCACTTGACTATGACAAGCAAATAAAATCAGTGGACATTTTCTATCAGGTAGCATACAAAATCACCATGTCAAGTGGAATGAAATAACCTAATATTAACTTCTCCTTCTCCAACATCTTGAGCTCTCAATCGCTCAATCTCTTCCGGTGAATATCCAAGACCGAGGTTTTGAATACCAGCAACATCTGGAAGCCCTCCAAATTGAGAAGATGGATAACTATTTCACATGAAAGGAAGTTAGAAACGGTGAATATTAAAGAAAACTCTGTCAATTATTTATTCTTATAAGTAGATCGCAATATGCCAAAAAATATGCTCAAGGTCATGAAAAATCTGGTGATTCTTTAGTCTAGAAAAACCAATACAACTATACTCTCATCAACTCATTAAAATAAAAACTATATGAAGTGGAACATATTAGATGCAGCATGGTTCCATTGCATGTTGTAATGTTCTACAACGTTTTGCGGAAAATTATCAGAATCAGTAGTAATAACATATGAACAGATATCTTTCTGGCTGCCCACGGCATTTTCTTTAGCTCATTGGACTTTTTACAGTTGTAGAATGTCATCACGAGGTGCCAAAAAATGATGCTAGTTGTCACCTCCAAAGCGTTTCTCTGAATTGGCCATCTCCTAATTTTCCTAACCTATGTATAACTAGGTAAGCATATATAAATGCCATATAGAATTGTCAATATCTCGATAAATCTTCACCTCAAGATTGAAATTTTATCATAAACTGGCCATCTCCAAGTGATTCAACTGGACATAAGCAAATTAACCTAAGGGACAGGCAGGAATAGTACGACGCTTGAACCATTTCCACATAGCCAAATACTGGGAGCTCAATGTTTACATCTTTTGTACTAAAATGTTTAAGGTAAGCTCACCTCTACAAGTGTGGATCCCTTAATAACTTCTCAAGAAGCATAAAGAAACGACCACATAATCAAGAAAAAAAATCAGGAATGCGGACCTTGTGATGTTCATGAAACCGTAGCCACCCAAGTATCTTCCCACCTCGAAGTAAGCGGGATTGGTCATCAGAGCCGCCGAAATCGGCGGCGGAGACCGTCGGAAAGGTCGCCGGCGCCATCCACCCGGGTCCAGCGAGGAGAGGAAACTGGTGGGAGGAGCTTTCAGCATCGTAACCGACGGAGCAGCCGGAGAGTGGAGACTGACACTCTCACTGGTGTGTTTGGGGATAAGGCAGCAAAAGCCTCTCCCAGCCACAGAATGCCAGGAACAGCTAAATTTGTTATTTTTATTTCAAAAATTACCATTTTCCAAGAAGGTAATCCAAAAAGTATTTGTTGTCTTATGTGCGGAAAACCATTTTTAATGCGTGTCTCCGTTAATTGGATCACTAGTTTGCTCTTGTTGTTTGGGAATTTTTATTTACATCTTAAAAAGACTCATGGTTTACAACTTAAAGTTACGAAAAACCACGTGTATTATGAGATTTTGCATATATTAATAGTTTTATGGTTTCAATGTTGTATAAAACCCCACGTTAATTGAAATCTTATAAACTTCAGCATATTTTAAACAAATTTCTAAAAGCGTTAAAGTATTAAACTATCATCCATAGTGACTAAGAACTTAACACCTAAAATTTTTATATACATTATATGTTTTAGAATTTTAAGCAATTTCGCGCTTAAAATACATAGGAGTATGGTATTGTAAAATTTTAGAACCATACTACATAATACATAAGGTTAAGTGCAACATGTAATAATGCATGTGGTTTTCTGTTACTTTTTATTATAAAATTTAAGTTTTGTGAAATTTAATCATTTTTTATTTTAGACTCGTCGAAGCTGGAAACTGGAACACTGAAGCCGGTGGGTGTGCCTGTGGATCTGACACCTCTCTCCCGTAATCCAAGCATTTTCCGTTACGCCCCTGAGGAGAGAGAGAGAGGCAGAGATTACCCTGCATTACGGGGAGTGGTAGTGGTAGGTAATCCGGTACATCGCGCGCGAAATTTACTCTCCCTCTCCACTTGCTCTCCCCCGATGACTCCTACCCACCATTGCTAGTCCAATACAAAGAATCCGCATTGGCATTCTGCAATGGCAATGGCGAAGCTGCGCGAGCGCCGGCAGCTGCGGCTGTCCGTGCCGGCGTCGCCGCCGCCATTCCCGCACCTGGACCACCCCTTCGCCGCCCTGCCGTCCACGCCGCCGGGCTCGCCCGTCCTGGCGGAGCTCGAGATGCTGTCCGTCGTCGGGCGCGGCGCGGGCGGCACGGTCTACAGGGCGCGGCACCGGCGCACGGGCGCCGCGCTCGCGGTCAAGGAGATGCGCGACGACGGCGCGGCGCTCCGCGAGGCCGGCGCGCACCTCCGCGTGGCCGCCGCGGCGCCCGACCACCCGTCGGTCGTCCGCCTCCACGGCGTCTGCGTCGGCCACCCCGTCGCCGGGAACCGGTTCGTGTACCTCGTCCTCGAGTACCTCCCGGAGGGCTCCCTGAGCGACGTGCTCGTGCGGGGCGCCCTCCCGGAGCCCGCCATCGCCGGCGTCACGCGGTGCGTGCTCCGTGGCCTGAGCCACCTGCACCGCCTCGGCGTCGCGCACGGCGACGTGAAGCCGTCCAACCTCCTCGTCGGCCACCGCGGCGAGATCAAGATCGCCGACTTCGGCGCCAGCCGCGTCGTCACGGGCCGCGACGAAGCCCACCACCAGTCACCCGGCACGTGGGCGTACATGAGCCCCGAGAAGCTCCACCCGGAAGGGTTCGGCGGCGGTGGCGGCGCCGACTTCTCCGGCGACGTGTGGTCCCTGGGAGTCGTGCTGCTCGAATGCCACGCCGGCAGGTTCCCGCTCGTGGCCGCCGGGGAGAGGCCGGACTGGCCGGCGCTCGTCCTGGCCGTGTGCTTCGCCGCCGCGCCGGAGGTGCCCGTCGCGGCGTCGCCGGAGTTCGGCGGCTTCGTGCGGCGGTGCCTGGAGAAGGACTGGAGGAGGAGGGCCACCGTGGAGGAGCTTCTTGGACACCCCTTCGTCGCGGGAAAGCCGTCTCGTTGCGAGCGCCAAAACGAGTGGCGCACCACCTTCCAGGACAAAACTGGCCAAGTGAACACGAGCATCTACGGAGAAGAATAGAAGATGAAATTAAAGTTTAAAAGGAAAAAACAATTTTGATCGCTTAATTGGATCTTTGATCAGAGCTGGTAATGATGCAAGTCCAACGGGAACGTGAATGAGAGAGGACTGGTTAGTATAGATGATCATCTGGACCTGCATGATTTGGTGAGTCCTGAAGAGATTTTCTTTTGCTTCACCTGGACTAGGATCAGTTTTTTGGAAACAAGTTCTGTTAGGATTTTCAGGGAAATAAGTTAATAAGATAGAGGGCTTTGGTTTATTTGTGGTTTATCGGAAACAACTACACGTCGGGCGCTCGATCCGGGATAAAAAAAATCAGGTGCCCACGTCATGCTGACGTCAGCAAGCATGCATGCATGCAAAACTATTTTAAACTATTTTTTCTCTTAAATTATTTATCCAAATCATGATCCGATTGCACTGTTAAATTCGTTGCAATTAAATCTTTAAAACAAGACCACACATGGATATATTCCGATAAAAAATTAGCTTATTATTGAATTATTTTTAAATGTTGCACGATGTTCCAACAAGTATATCGGAATTGTTTCACTAACTAGATCGAAAATGTTTCAATCGTTTAAATCGGATGTCATTTCACCTTATATAAAAACAATGTTTCAGTAAATAGCGAAAAAATATTTCAGTTTACTGCAATATTTGATCCATATAGTGAAACATTATAAGTACATTAGGTGAAACATTTTTGGTGGAACAAAAAATGAAACGAATTCCCTTAATAGAGGGTTTCCATAATATGAGTGTTTTGTTGCAAAAGAATGTTTCAATTCACTGCAACATTACATCTATACATAGTAAAACATTGTGAGTACACTAGGTGAAATATTTTTTGTGGTACAAAAAAAATAAAACGAATTCCCTTAATAGAGGGTTTCCAAAATATGTGGGTGATTTATTGCAATGGAGTATGTGGTGAAGACACGTGTGTCAGGTGGCAGGGATACGTGGGGCACGTGTGCGCGTTGGGAGGGGGAGCGACCGATTATGCTCCCTCCCCCGAGCGATCGAGTAGGAGGATTATCATGGTTTATCAGATAATTATCCGTATAAATCTGAGATATTTATAAAACTTCTTATCGTTGAAGGATAAAACTGAACTAATCACGAACCCTCTGTGCAAACAGCTGAACTTCTCGAGGGCGGAAAGGCATGTGGAAATGTGGTTATGATCAAGATTTTTGCTGGGCCATGAGCCTAGGCCTGCTGGCTACGGAAGTCCATTGGAATAAGTTCACTGGAGGTCCCTCAACTTAATAGCTAGATCTTTTAGGTCCTTTAACCACAAAATCAGAAATGTGTACCCCTAAACACACAAACCGTGCACTCACGACTTGTTTGGTAACTCAAGAGAAGGGGATTGGGAGTTTACACGAGGGAAATGATGATGAGATTAAGATGTAAATTTGATTTTTAATCCCAATATCTTGTTTGGTAGAGGTGATGGAAATTGATAGGGAGTTTAGTTGGAGATTAGATCATTAATAAAAACGGATGGCTGAGATTTGTTTAGATAAAGTAAAGGAGGAATTCCCTCCCAATTACCTGCCCCTACCCAGGTATTGAAAATGAGGGAGTTTCTTCCTCAATTCCCCATCCCCATCCCACCAAAATTCCCATGTCTCCCAACCAAACAAAACACTTAATAGCATCATCCCTCTAAACTCCCAATCTCTCCTAAAAACTCCCTCCAACCAAACGGGCCGTCAAGGTCCTATGGCAGTATATATGGGTGGTTTCGCCGACGTGGCATCCTAGTCAGCAAAAAAAATAAAAAAAGTATGTGAGGCCCACATATCAGTTGCACTTTTTTTTTCCTCTTTTCTCTCTTCTGTCTCTTCTCTCTTCTATTCTGCGGCGGGTGGTGTGGCAATGGCGGCGTGCTTCCGCTGCGCGCGGCACGGCATCTGGCCCCACGGGGCCCAGCCTGGCGACCTCCGTCTACGATACTCACCTCGGCCTTGCCACGCTGTCCTGGACGCGCACCTCCCTCAGCCTCTCGCTCCGCGCCATGCTCCACCTCTCGTCCCCGGCCACCCCAGCATCCAACTCAGTAGCGGGGGTGGGGATATACTTCGATAAGGACACCGACGGGGAGACCCTAGCCTTTCGTGTCCGCCCCTGGCTCCACGACTGCCGCGTCGAGCACCTCCGCCACCTCGACCTCTCTAGGAACAGCCTCAACAGCATCTTGCCGGCGAAGCTGCTCAACGCGACCGAGCTCCGGGTGCTCTCACTTGCCGACAATGACATCTCTAGCGTGCTCCCCAATGGCGGCTCCGTCTCGTACTTGCTCAGCCTCCAGGAGCTCAACCTGTCGAACAACGCGCTCGCCGGGCGCCTCCCGCCCGCTCTCTACAGGCTGCCGAGCCTCGCCGTGCTTGGTCTCACCAACAACTACCTCATCGGCGATCTCGCTGCCTTGGAGGGCGTCGACTTGAGCGCCAACTAATTCAATGGATTTCTCTCGTCCGACTTCGGTGGGAGCCGGCTACGATTCTTGAACATCTCGTCGAACAAGCTCAATGGCGCTATACCTACCGAGTTGTCCGCCGTCGTGCCGGCGAACTCGACTTGCACACACTTCCCGGTCTCGGGTTCGCCCAAGCCTTCCTCTTGGTTCTTCGTCGCCGTTGTCGCCGTAGGGGATTTGTCAGACGCCGCCTACCGCAAGACACGGGCGAGGTTCCCCGCCGGCCCGCGCCCCGTGCTGCTCTCCCGACGGGAGCACGTCTCCATGCGCGACGCCGGCCACAGGCACCGGAGCTGGGTGATCGTGCGTGGCAAGGATCGGGAGATCTCCGTGGATCTCGTGTCCCGCGGCTGGGGCAAGGACGGGAGGAGCAGCAGCAGGGAAAAGAGGAGGAGAAGAAGAAAAGAGAAGAAAAAAAAGATGTGCATCTGACATGTGGGTCTCATGTACTTTTTTTTCTAACTAGGATGCCACGTCAGTGAAATCACCCATATATACTGGTATAGGACATTAAGTGCACGGTTTTTGTGAGTTTAGAGGTACACATTTCTGCTTTTATGGTTAAGAGACCTCAAAAATTCTCATTGTTAAGTTGAGGGACCTCCGGTGAACTTATTCCACGTCCATTTAATCTGGCCCAACTTAGGCTAGAGGCTTCGGTAAGCAAGGTAATCAAACAGTGGGGACTGAGATGGCAACGGTGAATTCATCGTCGGGGTCCACATCCGCGTCCCCGTCACCGCGGTGATAAAATTTGGTGACGGTGATAAAATTTCACCGTCCCCACCCCCGTCAACCACGACAGGGGTACATTTTCACCAGCCCCGATCACCACGCGGTGAATTTTTCCCCGTGGTGAACCCGCCCCGCTTGAACAATAAATTCATCCCCAAATCATATATATGCAATGAACACAAATCGATGGCAAAGGAATCGATGGCAGCCGATGGCGTGCTGGCTGGCCGGAGGCGGTGAGCGGCGCAACGACAGTTGGAGGCGGTGCGCACGCGTCGACGGTTGGAGGTGCCGGTCGGTGCGACGATGGTCGGAGGCGGCGAGCGCGCATCGACGGCCGGAGGCGCAGGGCGGCGCGACGACGGCCGAAGGCGGCGGTGCGTGCGTCGACAGCTGGGGGCCAGGACCGCGCCCGCGCAAGGGGATGCAGCGGCCGCCGGCGGCGCCGACGACTGGGAGCCGGGACCGCGCCCGCGCGAGGGGATGCGGCGGCCGGCGGCGCCGTGAAGCAGTGGAGGCGGCGCTGTGGACCTCGGAGGCGGCGGGCGGCGCGTCGTCGGCCGGAAGCGGCGGCGTGCGGCGTTGCTTGTGTATGGAGAAGGAGAAGGATTTGGGGGGAAGGGTAGACTAGGGTTAGAGGTATATATATACCTTGTCATTGGGCTTCAATTCTATGGGCCACATGACTAATAAAGTCTAGAAATGATCCCTAGCTACAGTTAATGCGGGTCACCGTGGGAGACGGGGACAGGGAGTGGAGCACCGTCCCCGCCCCCGCCATCCCCGATGGTAATGAATTTTGGACCATTAGAATCACCATGGAGGGTAGATGTTAACCATCCCCATCACCTAATAGGTGAATTCACCACGGGGAAGCGGTGAACGGGCCCCCATTGCCATCTCTAGTGGGGACAGTGGTTGGTAAAGATTGAAATTCTACTCCTTCCGGAAAATTCTATAAATTAGTGTGAAACTTCTGTGTTTCGAAGAAACTTTAAAGAGTTAAAAAATGATTATAATCATATGGAAAGAGATGTAATCAAATGCAATGAATAGAAAAAGGGAGACAGATGCAAGTAAAGGAAAGCAGGGAGAAACCAAAAAAAAAAGTTACATGCATTAGCAAAAGCAAACGCTTTTGATATCATAATTGAGATCCGGTGATGATTCTCAAAAGGATGCTATGTACGTTGGTAGCAGTAGTGGTAGGCCTCAGATGTTGGTTCTGATGACCAACCGCTTACGTCACGATGACGGCATGCGGTATGAATTTGCAAACTCATTGGCACTTCTCAATAATATAAGTACAAATGCTACAATATAGGAGTGTGTGATATATATAGCACTTCTCATTGGCTCTTCAATGGAGTGCCGTCCCATGCCCAATCAAAAACTACATTTTCTTGGGTTAAAAATGTTAAAAAAAGAGCACTAGAAGGTAGTAAACACTTGTGTTGTGTCTCTACTACACTTTCGCCTTGTGTTTGACGGCTTGACCCTTTTTGTATGTGCATCCTAGTTAATCTAAACCTTCGCCATTTACTGCAACACCAAACAAATTAATCACTCTTCGTCGTCGCGTCAAATATAGCGGGTAAATTGTGTTGATCGATTCGTATTTGCTGTAGATGATAGTGCAGTGGCCGATCTATCTTGATCGATCTATCTCGTCCGTTGGATCAGATCACTATTGGTTAAACTCCGCCTTCTGCTCCAAATCGGACGGACGTGATCCATCGGTGGAATCATGAGAGAACGGCGGGTGATGCGATCTCCTGGAGCGGAGAGGCGGTGGGCCCGGACTGGAAGTAGGTGGAGACTGGGTCCCCCTCTGTTTCCGTGAGTGGGCCCGGGTAACAAACCTGTCCGGGTGGGTCCGGATGGGCCAGGGACTCGTCCATGGGCCCCCACAGGCCGAGCTCCTTCTCCAAATTCTCTACCCACCACTCTGCTCCCTCCTCTCCCGGGCTGGCGGTACATGGCACTGTTGCATCGCCGTCGCCGGGCTCATCGCCGCCGTAGCCGTCGATGATGCTCCATATATCCGGCTCGATGTCGATCTCCGGCAGGTCGAGCAGCTCGTCCGACACGGCGCCGACGCACGTCGTCGTCGTCAGGGAGGACGACGAGCACGGGGACGGCGGCATTGGCGCCGCGACCAGCGGCGCCTCCGTGGGCGCGTCCACCAGCATGTCCGAGATGTCGATGTCTTGCTCGAAGAAGGACACGTCGACGTTCTCGGGCTCCTTGCTCGTGCCGCACTGCTCGCCGGCCGTGTCGCCGCTGTTGTTGTTATTGGCCGCCGTCGTCGTCGAGGAGGACGCCGACGACGACGGGGAATGCGCGTCGGCGTCGTCGCTGGCGTCCGCGGCCTTGCCCTTCTTCTTGGTGTCACCTGGCTTCTCTCTCTGCGACACCCTCTTCTTCAGGTGGGTGTTCCACACGTTCTTGATCTCGTTGTCCGTCCTCCCGGGCAGGCACGACGCGATCTTGGACCACCTGAGCAAAAAACCAAATCCGATGAGACCGACCACGAGATCGAACACGCAAGAATTAACTAACACCCAAGCATTGAGGGCCAACGAAGAACTTACTTGTTCCCGAGTAGGCCGTGCAGCTTGATGATGGTGTCCTCCTCGTCGGCGGTGAAGTTGCCGCGCTTCAGGTCGGGGCGCAGGTAGTTGATCCACCGGAGGCGGCAGCTCTTGCCGCACCGCAGCAATCCGGCCTGCTTGGGGAGGGCTCGCCAGTTGGCGTGGCCGTGCTTCTGGATGTAGGCGATGAGCCGCATGTCCTCCTGCGGCGTCCACGAACCCCTGTTCAGCCCCACCTTGGCGCAGCACGGCGCTCGTCCCCTCCCCATGCCCACCTCTGTCTGAACGTTTCCCGGACAGAGTAGCAGTGGATGATGGATGAAGCAGAAGATGGTGATCGAGAGCGCATGGGAGACCGGGAGGGGGTGGTATATATGTGCACGCGCCGAGGTCTGAAACGGGCAGGGCGTTCTGTCTCCTCTCCCTCTCCCTATCACCTTCCTATAGCTTGTTTGGAGTCTTAATATTCTAAAGAAACAACTGGTTGGTAATTAGTTTTCGAGAATCTTGAAGAATTGGGTTTCTTAATTTTTAGCTTTCGGTTAATTTTCTGGATTTTACAACTACAATTTCTCATAATTTAGATATTTCTTATTTTGGTTTTGAAAGAAGGTGTAGCTAAGCTTCCCAAACAGTTTTAGTCTCTCCGACGTGATGATGACGGATGACAACCTCCCCATCTCTGTCTCTCTCGTTCGTCTCCCCCGTTCTCTTCTACTCCTACCTCCGAGACGAGACTATTGCGCTTACCAAACCCCTGTCCCTGGAAAGCGACGCCGTGTGGCCCCTGGCCGGCGGTCGGGTTCGTCGGCGGTGATGTGTAGCGGGGGTTGTTAACCACGGCGTGCTCCCTTCTCTCGCTGCTAGCGCGCCTGGCGATCCTACACGTGTGCTTAGCTGCCGCTAATTTCTAGCTTTGGCGCAGGCTTTTGGAGTAGTTGTGTGGGAGAGATTTGAAGTGGCAACCTTTTTGTGATGATAATGTACTGTATATATAACTATTTATATCCTTTTTGTTTTGAATCCTATCTCCTGATTACAAATTCAGTAGCTTTTCATCTTATTAACGCGTGAAAGTGTGTTCTAGTTCTAAATGTGTGTAAATATAACTAGCATGGCGGCCCGCGCAGATTGCGCGGCTAGCATCATTATATTTTCTCTCATATAATAGCATATCTGTTTTCTCATTATATTATTAAAATATATTACAATGACAACATAGTTTTAAATTTTGCAATAACCTTACGAAACTACTAATGTGTAATATTCATATTGTATTTTATATACGTGTTAGTTATTAATTTTTTTTAATATCAAATTTTAGTTATTTGTAAATTATATATATTCCTATATGGACTATAGACTTGTCTTTTAATATTTTTTAATTCTGATTTTTTATTATTTTTAATTGTATTTTTATGTGGACTCTAAACTTATCTTTCAATATTCTTTAATCTTTAATTTCAAATTTCAGTTACTTCTAAATTGTATTTCTATATTGACTTTAAACTCTTCTTCCCATGTTTTTCTTAATTTCGAATTTTAGTTACTTTTTCTCTGATTAATGTGAGAATTTCTAGGTCATGAGAGCGAACGTAGATGCACCTTTTTATTCCGAATTTTAGTTAGTTTTAAATTCCTATACGGCTTATGGACTCTATACTCTACTTCTAATATTCCTTATTTTTAGATTCCGAATTTCTATTTTTTTTCTTAATTGTATTTCTATATGGATTCTATACTCTACTTCTAATATTCCTTATTTTTAATTCCGAATTTCTATTATTTCCTAATTTTATTTCTATATGGACCGTATACTCTATTTCTAATATTCCTTATTTTTAATTCCGAATTTCAATTATTTCCTAATTGTATTTCTATATGGACTCTAGTCTCCTCTTCTAATATTCCTTATTTTTTTAATTTCGAATTTCAACAATTTCTGAATTGTATTTCTATATGGACTCTAGTCTCCTCTAATATTCTTTATTTTTTAATTCCAAATTTCAGCTATTTCTAAATTGTATTTCTATATGGACTCTGCCTTTTCTTTTTCTCTAATTAATGTGAGAATTTCTAGGTCATGAGAGCGAACATGGAGGTTCCTTTTTTTTTCCGAATTTTAGTTAGTTTTAAATTCCTATATAGACTCTATACTCTACTTCTAATATTCCTTATTTTTTAATTTCGAATTTCTATTTTTTTCTTAATTGTATTTCTATATGGACTCTATACTCTACTTCTAGTATTCCTTATTTTTAATTCCGAATTTCTATTATTTCCTAATTGTATTTCTATCTAGACTCTTTACTCTACTTATAATATTCCTTATTTTTAATTCCGAATTTCAGTTATTTCCTAATTTTATTTCTATATGGACTCTGGTCTCTTCTTCTAATATTCCTTATTTTTAATTCCGAATTTCAGCTATTTCTAAATTGTGTTTCTATATGGACTCTGTATTTTCTTTTTCTCCGATTAATGTGAGAATTTCTAGGCCATGATAGCGAACGTGGAGGCTCTTTTTTCTATTCCTTTAATTATATAATAGATTTTGATTTTTAATATATCTCCCAGGGGCTATATGAAGTAGCAGTGGGGGTGGTCATCATCTACCAACGTTTTTATATAGCCGTAAAAGGTCTAGTTCACCGGGAAAGTGCACACTTTCTTTCCGAGCAAAAGTTGGCTGAAATGTGACGGCATGATTTTCTTGGGCCTCTGGAGATTTTGTCGTTGTCTTATTCTTGTAGTACATGAAAAAAAAATTACAGTGAGCAAGGTTTTTCAGTGTTCTATATAGCATATTAAAGTTGCGTTCTCCTTTAGTCATTAAAATTGTTTGTGTGTCTAACTAAACTCGGCTTTTGGTGGAAGCCTAAAAATGTGTTTTCTTAGAGAGAACTGCTGATCGGTTATGCAAGTAGACCTTTTTCTCCTAATCAAACATTAGTTAAGGAGAAAATAGATATGTAAAATAAAGCACTTCGCTTAAAATCTAAATTACATATATACTATTATTATCTTTTGAAAGGAATATTAAGTCCATGTTTCTGTTTGGAGAGCTTTTAACAGCAACACCTTTTTTCAGAATCTCTAAATCTCCAAATAATTTAAATTTCGAGTGTGACGTTTGTTTCTATTAAAAACGAACATGAATATTAAATTATGACGAAAAAAAAGAAAACCACTAGCCATGATTAATTGAGTTTTTAGTCATTACAAACTTGAAAAAGATTTATCTAATATTTTAAAGCAACATCTATACAGAAAGTTAGTTTTCAGACAAAATATACCATTTAACAGTTTGAAAAACATGCTAATAAAAAATCAAGGTAAAATCCGTATCTTAATAAAAAAAATAACGGGGATGCATGCTAAGGGCACCCACAATGGTTATCTATAAACTCTCTACAAGAGATCCATGTCAGAATATTTTCCTACTTGGAAGAAATTAAATGAAGAGAGAGAGCAAAACTATCTACTAACCTGGAGATGGTCTATAGAGAAAAACGTGGCAATAGATTAGAGAACTATAGATATCCATGTAGACATACCATTAAAGTGGTTTACTATTAATATAGTCTATTGCTGAGATGTACATGTTTTATAGATAGCACCTTACTTTACCATTGCGGGTGCTCTAATAGCCCAAATAGTATCTGAACACTTCAATGCTTGCCAAATGATCTTTGTACCTAGGAGTTGGTCCTTTTGAAGACAGTGACTTTGCTTTTATTTTGATAAAATAGATCCAAGGTTGAAGGATGCGATACGCTTTCACCGTTTATGACACTAGCTCGTGCACGTTACTGAGAAATTCTACAGCATGCTCTATTTAATTCTTCCAGGAAATTAAATGGCAACTAGTCTGCTGAAGGCTGAAGCCTACGACAGACCGTTCAAACAAGTGGGAGAAAATAAAGTACCTAATCATCTTAAAGTCGTTTTTAAGCAACTAGCGGCACACATTTTTGATTCTGTGTACTTCAAAGGTCAGTGATCGAGCTCCTACACAAGATAGCAATTTAAACAATTCTCCACATTTTTGGCAAGAACCGCCTAATTCTACAACTCTAGGGTGCTACTCTGCTTGATTGTGATATCCTAAGTCCTAACTCCAAATATGTAGGTGGCCACTCGCAAGGTTAAAGATATTCCGGTCATAATATCATAATATTTAACATTTAGGACATGGTTCAATCAAATTTTAACTACCATTTTTATGACAGTACTTCCTCCTTCCGCTTATATATGTCATTGATTAGTTCTTTTTTTTAACTAACCAACGTAAAAGAGAAAGTACTTTTAAGACAAATCTATTTTTTTTTCTTAAAATAGCATTTGTGAAGGTATTTATGGTTAAAATCTTAAAAATAGACCTAAGCCTTGTCGTAAATATAAAATATTCACAAGCAGGGGAGTATATAATTCAGAAAGACAAGTAATGAGATCGAGCACCAGCCAAACATATGAGGCAAGCCACCATACGTGATTCTTGTAGCAAGTCTATCAACAGTGGAAAAACAAATAATGGAGCTACTCCCTCCTTCTCAAAATATAACTATCCTTAGCGTTTAAAAACTTGTCCTATATTCTTTTTCATCTACTATTTAATTTCTTTACCTATTTTCTCTTCTTAACCAATTACATATTTTCTCCATTTAATTTCACCCACTTTCTTAATCTCCATTAAAAAACTTGCATGTTCACGGTATATATTAAGGCTATGTTTGACATAATTCCGGATCTCATATCCTCATTGGATCTGAATTTTGTACATTAAATTATAGTGGTTTAAAGTTTTAATTTTCATTTAAAATAATAAAAAATGATTTATTCAAATGTTATTAACAAATTCATATATCTAGATATATGGATCTGTGAAGTTAATTAGGAATACTTAGGTCTAAGAAATTTTGAATGAGCTGCAAATAGGGTCTAAAGTACCAGTTGCTCTAGTTTTTCTTTTAAGGGTAGAGTGCTGCTCCAGAATTCTAATACTAAACATAAATTTATATGGCTGTAACAGTTGAGAATTGCGACGCAATTCAGAACTTCAGATTGGAATCTCTGTCCGCATGTATGGGCTCTGCATACTTTTGGCTAATCGAGTATACTAGCAATTCGACGTAGCTCAACAACCCGTCCTTTTCCATGCCAAAGGCTTGAGAGTTCCGATTCCAGTGTGTCACAAGATCTCTCAAGTCCATGAGTTGGGAGTGTGGTCAGTACAAGCTTAGACTACCAGACAGCCAGTTGCCGTTTTGCCTTCCTCGCACCTAACTCTTGACATGCTCTCGATTGATAGGTCGTCCTTGTAGGCATTTCGTCATGTGTCGAATTAGGACTCTTTAGGAGGAAGAATAAGGCTCGTTTCCAGGGGTCCCATTTCCAACTCCCCTTTTTCGTTTTTCGTGCGTACGTTTT